AACGCTCAAAACTTTTCAGAGCTTGAGAAATGCAGCTGTTGAAATACATTCCTCTCCCAAAGCATAATTAGTGATAACAGTAAGAATGTGTGAGCTGAAAACTCTCAATATAACCTGAAACAGCTGATGTAGTACCTGAGCTTGTCGAGCTGAGTGGGTTGCAGTTGCCCATACACACGTGAGGATGAGCTGCGTGATAAACCTGACCAAAGACATGGTAGCGGGAGGCATTCAGGATCTGTAGAAAGTTAGGCAGTGCTTACCTGCTTTCCCTTAACCCCCTTTTATGCCTGGTGAGGCAGCTTTCCTGCAGCTGCAGTTTGCACCTGTATGGGACTGTACTGGAGATACTTGTTCAGCTTTATGCTCAGCTGTCAAGGAAAGGCCCTCCTTGGGGGAGAGGGAGGAAATTGCTCCAATCTGCTGACTTCTGCACGCATGTGAAACTTTCTGAATTGGAGTGTGCATTATTTAACAGAGCATCAGCTGAAAGGTTTTTGGCAATTTTGTGCTGTTTTAATTTAGGTGAACTGGAGCAGGACTTTGCTTGAAATAACACACGTTTTGTTTCAAATAGCACATGCACTGTTTCAATTTGGAGTTCGTATCCTGAAGCTGAATCTGTTCTGAATCTGGAGGTTCCTACTTAGAGCATATGGAGAAGGTGCACAGCCCACTGCAACCTGTAGGATAAAGTTTGCTATTGAAATGAAATACATGCAGAAAATCTTAAAAGTCCTGAGACATTGCAAAATCTTTATTTTCTCAAGTGCGCTTGTTAATGGTTCAACTTCTCAGTAAAATCAAGTCAAACCTCAGTTCAAGGACGCGACCCCTGTTGCACAAAGGCAGGTGGGATAGCCTTAAGTGCACACAGCTTTACAAGCAGGGCTGATGGCATACATTGACCTCAATGCTACCTGAAGAGGCAGAAAGGGAGAGGGGGGTGGAAAAAAAGAGAGAAAAAGTATTCCACCAGGCAGCAGGGAGAAGTGAGGGAGTCCCAGGGAGGTGTCCTCCTTGGGGTGTCCACTTGGTTCAGGAGCTGCTCAAGCTCCCTGATGGTTGCTTTTGCTTATGATGCTGTCAGCGTCGACTGCATCAGGTATGATGTGGTGCACCTGTTCATGCTGGTGGGCCAATTACAAGGCTTTGTGCATGTGTGTTACTGGGTAATTTGTATTGGGAAGGCAAACAGGCATTGCCCTAGCAGGTGTTAGAGTTATCAATGAAAAACTGTGAGGGGAGTGTTGAAAGGATCTCACTATGGAGCTGTAGATTGAGAACTAAGATGTGATGAGGCAGAGAGGGAAAAGGGATGATAAGAACAGGAAGGGCAGATGTTTTCTGACATAAGGGATAAAAAAATGCTCCAGAATCAAGCTGTGCGAGGCCATGAGGACAAGGGCACTTGGGACACCAGGGTAAAGGCACTGCCACGGTGTCTTCAGGCTGGGAGATGAGGCTTGCCAGAGGTGCTAGTGGAGAAGACTGAAAGCAAAAGGCCCTTGATATTAAAAAGGTAAGGCACCATGCAATGCCCTGGAGAGGAAACCACGGGTGTGAAGACAAGGGCTTTAATTGTGACTTCTTAAAACAAGTGTCATAGCTGGGTTTGGCACTGGAAAAAGGAGATCACAAAATAAACATACTGTCTGGGCGATTGGAGGGGAATAATTGTAGATGAGAAATATTTGGGCTGTGTAAGGTGCTGAGGTATACTTACTCAGTGTGGCTACCATTGTGGGTAATGGAGTATTCTTTTCCATCGCTCTTACTGCTCTCGTCCCCCTGAAATGCTAAAGGAAGTTTGATTGGAAGCGTGTAAGAAAAAAACATCAGCAAACTAGATTTTAACTTCTGCTTTTCTTCTCCTTCTTCTTTTCCCGATGGTTGGCTTTGCAAAATAATAATCTAATAATCTTTATTCTCTTGGGCTTGGTGGCTGGTCACAAGAGCCTGAGACCTTCAATTATTTAGCAAAAGAAAAAAGGGTATTGTATGCAAGGGAGAAGTAAGATCTGCTCCGATGAACATCGCTACAGCTGGGACTTTAACAAAATGTTTTTATCAGGGCACACAAACCTTCCCCTTGCTCTTATGGCGTGACCATTGCCATTCTATCCGGGAACTAATTCTTGTGTTTTCTCAAGAGAAAATTAATTGTTTTTGCAGGTAAGAGCCAAGAGCCTTGTCACCTTTCTCTCCTTACACAAGTTACTGCACTACAAAACCATTTCTTACTTTCTCATTATGTTTGACATTCTCATTTCCCAAGTCTGACAGTTTGTTTGTTCTGACCTCTTGGGCTTACTTACAGGGACAGATTTTAGTACAGCATCTTATCCACTTGTATTTCATCTGTTGGTCTCCCCAGAGTCTCTGGCACAAAGGAGACTGCTCTGAAGTACAAAAAAAGAAATGGCCAGGAATGTAAGGTAACGTTTGAAAATGTAGTAAAAATCATTAAAAAATGCTATGTAGGATAAATATTTTAAATTATTTTAATCTTAAGTCATTTTTTTTTGACTGTGGTGGGAAACGAGGATGATGAGAGACAGAGGTGGTCACACTAACCACAGCAAATAAAGAGCTTCAGTGTGTCTCCCTAGAGCTGCCAAAGCAGAAGCATTGTTCCTGCTTCATGGGTACAGATCTCCTTTTTTGTTTTTGTTTTTTTAAATGACCCAAGTCAAAACAATAAAAACACATTTAGTGCCTTGGATTTCTGAAGATTGCACGTGCAGCCTGGCTTTGATTTGTTCAGGATTCTGTTGGATTTTGAAAGCTGGGTGCTGAGTGCTCTGTCTAGGACGTCGTATCGGGCATATGGATAAAGAGTTCAACTTGTGTTTGTTTACAGTGACATTAGATGTTAAGAGGTTTATCCTGATGCTAGCTTCTTTGCCAGAAGCTCAGACACTGGAGATCACCCTGTGTTTCATGTGACTCCGCCGGCAGAACCCAAACCACCTTTTATTTCTACTTCTATCATAGGCATACTCAGTGGGCCAGTAGAAAGGTTTCTTCACCTGTAAAATGTGAATACCTATCTTGGAGAAAACATGCTCCCAGCAAGGTTACTGAAAATCAGTTCCCATTATTGCCGTAATTCTGAGTGCACGAGTGTGCCAGTGGTGTCCTATATGACCCTATAGTGCATTAGCCAAGTGTTTCCCTTCTCTTTTGTCCCGTTCCTGCTATCCCGCTGGATGTGCTGCAGCTGCTCAAAGTGTCTCCAGTATTTTCTCTTAGGTTGAAATTCAGCTTCCCCTTTGTCCCCACATCAGTGTAAGACAATATTCTTTGAAAAATACTGTGATTTAAAGTATCAGATTTTTAAACAATTTGGGAAACTTTGAATTTCCCTCCAGGTAGGTCAGGACAACAGAAGTTTTAGTGTTTAGTTTGCCTTGCTGTTTGTGTTTCCCATAAACTGTCTGTACAGTGGGTTGTTATTGTTGTTGTTTCTTTCCCCCTCTGGCCAGATTATCCCACATGTCTACTGCCGTGGGATAAGCAAGAGGCCAGAGGACACAATGTAGATGCTTGGGGGCCTTTTGAAGTCAAGGACAAACTTTTGACTTGCTCACTTTTGTTTTCATCCCTTCTTTCTTTTGCGTGTGTGTGTGTATATAAATACACACACATTTTATATATATTTGGTAACAGCTATTTTCTTTACAAGTGTTTTTAATTAAAGCCAACAAATGGGAGAAGTACAAGTGTCCTATGTGTAACTACAAAGAAACTTCACCATTTCCACCCTGTGTAGACCTCTTCCTCTCCCTGCAGTGGCAGCAGAAGCCAGGCTAACCTGACCCCACTGTCGAGTGAGAAGACAGACAGGCCTTGTTAACGTGAAGAGCTGGTGAAATAGTGGAGTAGAATTTTCTGTGTTTAACCCGGTTGCTGTTTTACATTAACGAATGCTGTTGAGGAGGAAAAGAAAGTCTTTCTAATGGGATTTGAATGAGACATGTAAAGCAGCAGAAGGCAGCTTCCTGGAATTGAATTAGATCAGAATGTTGGGATTTAACAAACTCCCGTTTTGCCAGAAATGCCATAAGATTATTAAAGCGTTGCAACCTCATTTAGTTGCTTTGTAATCTGCTCTAATACATTTCTTTTAACCTTCCTGCTGATGAGGCTGTTGTGTAACAGACATTGATGGCCAGACCTCGTGGTGCTTTGGTGCTTAAAACATTGCAGGGAGTAATATTATGGTGGGAATAGTTGAAGAAAATACCCGTTCAGAAGAACAGAGGTGAGATGTTTGCGTGGGCAGAGAAGCTCCTACTAGCTTTAATTTAGTTAGCCTGAAGGAATAACAGCAGAAACCTGGCCGTGCCAAATAAACTCATTGTGGCAGGGAAATACAACTAGGGAGTGCCGGGCTGGGAAACCCAATGCAATTTTGCTGTGAACTTGCATGCTGAGGATCTCCGTGCCCGCTGCTTGTGGTGTTTGCAGAGCATGGCTCTGATGCTGGGGGCATGGCAGGGGACAAGGCAGTGCCTGGATTTCGGTGGCAGTGAGGTGGTGTGCTTTGATTTGGAACTGCTCTTCTAGAGTTCAGTCCCTACAGCTTTTTAGGGACACTGGTACGACTGGTGCAATTAGGACACTGGTTTTAACTGAAATAGATGTCTTTGCTGCCATGGTGTTTTCTCAAAACTGCTAGCTCCAATGAAATGAAAGTCAAAAATACTTTGCTGGATTTAATGAGGGGAGAAATTCTTGGCTTGTTCTGTGAAACTCTGCATTGTGTCCGCTTGCTCCTTCAGCTGTCTCAGCAGCTGGATCCTTCCTCCCACCCCTCCCTGCCCCTTCCCAGCCCAAACTTCGGCTGGAGGTCGTGTAGGGCTTACTCCTTGCAGTGCTTAGATCTCAGCTCCCACTGAGGAGAGAGAAACAACAGCAGCCTGCCCAATTCTGTTACCTTGTACGTAGCCAGTAACCGTGAAATAACTATCTTTAGCCAAAACAAGAGCCAGATGCATTTTGCATTTGCTTCTTTATTCTACAACACAAGCAACATAAATAGTTCATAATTTTTCTTTTAAAATATTTCCACTTCAGGATTCAGTCTGAACAAAATATACACAAAATACAGGTTGCAAGCCAGCTTACAGCGACTGCCGGAACAATGGACGCCAAGGAACCAAACAAAGCTAGCAGCACGAAGGGACGCGGCGGACACGGGGAGTTTCTCTGAGTCAGAGCAGAAAGGTAGAGGGAGGAAACATGAATGAAACGGGGGGACTGCAGCTAGGTATGAGCTCTGTAGAAGGCAAACCCAATGTAAGAACTCTTGACAAGGCGATTTACGGTCTCTCTCAAAAATGTTAGTGGCTCCTCCTGAATATACAGCTATAGAGATGAAGTCCTGGGAATAATGTTTTGTAGTAAACTGCTTCATATGGCAGCCATCATCACGGAAATAAAATTTGTTTTTCATTTTGGAATAGGAAGGATTAGATCTTTGGCAAAATGGAGTGTCCACTCCCTTTGGCTTTAGTTCAGTTTTCAGTTCTGGTCAAAGGGCCCATGGAAGTGCATCTGCAGTATCATAACTAATGATAAAAAGGAGGTGGATGGGGAGGGGGGAACTGAAAGAAGGTGCTCGCTCCTGTCATTGCATACTTTCAAATCTCTAGCTCCCACCTGCTCCAGCAAACTGTGCAGTCTGGGGCTCAGGTACCGCAGGGGTCTGCCCTTTCCCTTTGGTATCTCCCTTTGGTGCTTTCCTCCGCAGAGCTGGGGCCTCAGGAGCCACAGCCCAGTTGTGGAGGTGATATTTGTCCCTTGCTGAACCTCTGTACCTGGGCTTCTCTGCTAGCTCTCCGCTCTCTCATTTCAACTGGCTTCATGGGGAAGCTCAGCATTTCACTGCAGCCCAGACAAACCAATGTGTGAACAGGAAATAGGGCCCTAGTGCTTCATGGTATTGGGTGAAATTTGTGGAAATACATAACTACTATTTAAAGTGCGATATTGGGGTAAAAGAATTGAAACAGAATGCTATGTTTCTTAACAAAAAAAACGCCCTCCATAAACCCAGTTCCCTGAAACAATGTGGCAGGGGAGACCCTGCAAACCTCAGCCCGTGAATTTGCCAAAAATAAAGAGGATTTGAGAGATCTGGTCCCACAGGCAAGCTCATTATTGCATTAATCCAGGATCATACAGTGTAGCTCCACTGATATCCACAGTCAGAATTAGGACATTTTCTCTTCCCTCTGCTTTTAGTTCTTGGACCTCTGAGTGTTAACTGAAAAGAATGATGCATGCTCATGCCAGGTGCTTTTTTTAATTGTCCTTTTAAATAGCCAGCCTGCTGTGTTTGTCCAAAGCTGTTTGTTTAGTATGAAATGAAATCACACAGTCAATATCACGTATAAAGTGTATATTGAGGGGAATTAGTGGAAACAATACAGAGGAGGTAATGCTTCTTCCTTGCAGCCATACAACTTCCTGGAGAGCCAGGTGCGTTGCTGGTGAGGGCTGCTGATGGACCATCAGGTTGTATCCCTATAGAAGATCTACTCAAAATAGGGGGGTTCAGAGAAGAGGGGTCAGTCAATAGCTGCCAGATGTTATCTACATTGCATAAAATCCAATATTTGTGCTTCTGAGCTATGGTAACTTGGTCCTTTTATATTAAAAAAGGATGATAAGGTATATATAATTGATGGTATAATTTAATTTTTTCAAAGAATTGTGGAATGATCAAAAATTGGAAGAAAAAAAAAACTATCTAATTTCATGTGCCATGATTAGCACTACACACAGATCTTCCCAGAAATCATCATAATGAGAATGATAAAACAGTTTGCTTAAGCATAATCTTATCACACCCCCACAAAAATAAAGACAAGGGAAGAAAGGAGGTTCTTCTTTTTTTCTTTTTAAATTAGAAACAGCTTATCACTGAGTAATAGCATCTCTAGAATGGTTTGCTAAAGGTGAAAACAACTACACGGCATGCTTAGTTTCTGAATAAGCTTGTACACAAGAGCTAGGTAGAAATAAATTACTTTGGCTCACTGTGGTCAGCTTCTTACACATTAAAACTGGATCTGTGCAAAAGCGAAAGTTCTACAGGGGGGCACTGGGATGCAGAGGAGTATGATGTGCTGGCCCTTGTGGATTTTCAAGCAGAAGGGTATAGAGGACCACAGCAGAGAAAAGTGACATCAGAACTATATAAGACTTTCCCTTTCCTGAGAACTTGTGAACTTGAATGCAGGGACTGAAGGATTTCCCCTGATTTCAACAGCTTAGGCATTTTGAGCATGGGCTTAAGTTGCAGCAAGAGATAGCAAGTGCAGGCAGCAGGCAGAGCTGAACCTCTCTACTTGTTAGCTTGTCGGCCACTCAAGTTTCATACTGGTCCTGCTCTGAGCTCCACAGTGGAGATACCAGTGTTGATATGCTACTATATCAACAGCAAATGGAGATTACGTAGGGTAGTACAAGATATTAATAGGTAGCAGTTAACCTCTGTGGCAGATGAAGACTTGTCAGTGAATTTTACTCTAAAATTAAACAGAACTTGAAGCTCAAATTAAAGGCAAAGTACCTTACTAGATCAAGTTATGGGTGTAAACTCTGCTTGGCCTTGCCAGGAGCCAGCTATACTCCAGAGGACGCGTATTGTGTAGCTGTGATGAGACAAAAGCTGTGTTGCCAGCGTTCGGAGTTTTACAAGGAAAGTTTTGCCCAGGTCTATGTAAATCTTTCTCTAGTAATTCTTTTTTGACGTTGAATTAAGTAAATTACTCTAAAGTGTCCAGTTCCTAGCAGAGTATTAAATTTGTATCCTAACATCTGAAGACACGAAAACATGTCAACCAGGAGATGGTGTTGCCAGTTCTGCGGCTGCTGAGTGCTCAGGGAGGAGTAGGGAAGTTACCAGAAGGACTGCGCTAACTGCTGATGCTGGACGTCGCTGCTGACCTGATGCAAGCATTGCCAGAGTGCACAATGAACATCCTGGCAATGTAGGCTATCCCTCTGCTAACATGCAGAGTGCTCACAGTGCCTGCGGTATGTCTGCATGTAATGGCACTGCAGGGTGACGTGACCACGTGCACGAGGCCTGCAGCTGGGTCAGGGCCCTGCTCCTGTACTGTGCAAGTAACTCCTTGATTGATGGTTGTGCCACTTCTTCCAGCTTTAAATATTCGCATGGTGAAGTTATTCCTTGTGAGCAGAGGTGTTGGTTTCTGGCTAACGGCAGCTTTCTCTGTCAGTGGCTGCCTGAAACATCCTCTAGAAGACAACGCTGCCTCTCCCTGCCGCAGAGGCCTGCGGGGACGGCGTGAACTGAGCCAGCGTGCGGCTCGGGCACCCGAGCAGGGCTGCAAACCACCATGTCCCTTTGGAAAGCAGGTCACCTAAACAAAAATCACTGGCTACACAGTTTTAAAAATAGCTAACTTGCCAGTTAGATGAAAATCAAAAAACAGCTCCTACAGAAGTCTGTGTCAAAAAAGAAGGTGCGAGAGAAGAATGGTCGTTAACCAGAACAGAGAATGTACAGACTGTGGGTTGGTTGGTTGTTTTTGTTTTCCCCAAAAATAAAAGTTCTGATTCAACTCTGAAGCTGGTAATATGCTGCTGTTACCCTGTGCGTTAGGTGATACGAATTTGAGATGAAGAAATTTGGTAAGAATTTGAATGAGTTATGCAAGAAAGACTGACTGACATGTGGAGACAAGGGCTACTTTGTGCAACTGCCTGAGGTGCCTCCCCGCTCAGCAGTGGAAAGCAGAGAAGTGGCTGTAAGGTGGTGCAGCTGGCCTGTGCCTGGTGAGGGCAGAATTAGGGAGTCCCCTTCTGAAGCTCCTGAGGGGTTGCTGCCAGTACCTTTCTCCTGAGCCTGTGCTGCACAGGCACCTTCTTTGGGCTAAAAGCTCACAAGCAGCCCGAAGTATGCATGAAACAGAGTGCACAGGCCTGTGAAATGGGGACTTTACACACTTAGCATTTTACTTCTTCGGGGCTTGCTGCTTTCTAAACTAGCAACAACAACAACAAAATGATAAACCAATGCCGTGCTCTTTTTTTCTATGCATAAGATTAATGGTTCCTGAAGCGGCAAGGAGCTGTTGTGCTCACCTGCTTTCCATTTCACAAAGAAAGAAGGAAAAGGAGGAGTGGCATCTGCTAGACTTTGCTCATTTAAAGCCTGCTACTACAAAGGTTCCTTCATCCTCATCCCATTTCTGGAGTTACTCAGTTACATCCTCTTAGGGCTGCCTACGGGAGGGGTGTGAATGAACAGAGGCACTGAGGGTGACAATGGGCACTTAGTGCGTAACGTGGAAGGAGACGTTTGAAATAGGGCAACAAGCAATATTTTGAGTCAAGCAGCTGGCTAATCACATAACACCAGGCTATGCTGTGTTTGTAGGCCTGGATGGGGCAGGTACTTTCATTCCTAGAGCTTTTCTTTCCGATTTACAGATAACATAACCACAGTGCTTCCTAGATACTGGGATTGCTTCTGGACTCCTGAGTGATTCTATTGGTACTGCTACCAATTACACTTCTCTAATGTGTTTCAGGGATTTGCTTGTTTTAGGTAAGCACAGTGAAGAGCTGAATCCCTTAAATGCAGATATAATGAAAAATAGCAGTTAGGGGTCTTGCATAAAGTTTATTCTGATTTTGGTTGCTGCTAATTAATGTACTGCTTTAAAAGCAGTTATATATAGATGCCCTATAAAAAGATTAACAAAAATATAACCACCCTTTTACTTTACCTAACGATGTGTAAAAAAAGACATGGCAACAGAAATCAAACATTGTCACCACTCCTATATAGCAAGGTCTAATTTCACCTGGCCCCAAGGGAAGGACTCGATCTGTTGTAAAAACTGGCTTTGTAAACAAATAATTTAATGCCTTTATCAATTGACAATGTAGGTGGTGAGAAAGAGTTATTTTTAAGGATTTTTTTTTTAATGTTCTTGAAACAATTTAACAAAAGGAAATTTTGAAAGAGAGGGAAACAGTGTGACTGACACTGCAGAATGCTGTAGGACCAAATATGCCCTGCAGGAGTCTAGCAGGTGACAGGACAGGGAGTGGGTGATGGAGGGCAAAGGCAGGATGGTGGTGGCAGACTCTTAGTAACACATCAGCTTGGGTAATGGCTAGTCAGTAGATCCTCTTGGACCAACCCTTTTTTCTTTTTTTTTCTGGTTCAAGATGCTAAAAACCAGTTAGATGTGCAAAGTCCAGGCCTGATAGAGATGATGTTTTTGAGGATGCTTTGTAGCAAGGACTGAAGCTGTATATTTAGTTGGTGTGCACGTTTTAAAAAGCCTTGGGATAACATCATTAAGGGGTCACCCAAGATTAAATTCAATTTAGTTTCAAGAAATTATTTAAAAGTTTGATCAAATTATGTAGCGTGGGACTAGGAGATGGGATGTCCCAGGGGCTGTGACATAATTTGGGTGGCAAAGTAACCCTTCACTGTGTCTAGTGTGAAGAGCACCATGTACAATACAAGTCAATCCTTCCCTTTCTCCCCAGTAACCATGTTGGTAAGCCATAGGAGTCCTCAGAAGCGCTGCACAGAGGGGTTGTACCTACACGAGGCTCTGTCCCCTTCTGTTTACAGTACCAGCTGAGAAACAGGGAAGTTAGTTACCTTCTTTTCAGACTATTTTCCATCTTGATTAAGCTCAATGTGGAGTGATAGGCTAAGTTTGATGGAGGTGGTAAGGGTCCTCCTGGCTACAGCAGCTCTACACATAGCTCCATAGAGCTCCAGTAGAAATACAAGCCAGCTTAGCTGCAGTGGTGCTTGAACTGGAATGCTTTATTCTGCTGAGTTTTGGGGACTGTCATAGGGCCTGGCTGTAGCTTTGCTCGTGGTGTCTTCCCCCGTAGCATCACAGGAAACAGCAAAGCAAACTTCCCTGGCGCCCCTGGGGGAACTAGTTGCATGTCAAAAAATCATCAGCTGAAGTAGCCAGGGTGGTGGTGTTAGAGGGCAGCCGGACTGTGCATTTTTTTTGAGCAATACTCCACAAGGCCAATGAAAGGATGAATAGCCTGTGCTTGGTTCACCAGTTTTAGACCTGGGATAGATGAATTGTCACTCACTAGCTACCCTGAATGTGGCCAGACTGCAAAGGCTCTTCTCAGAGCAAAATTATCTTCAACTTTCTCTAGTGATCAGGACACATAGTTATTACAGTAATCTTCATTTGGCTTTCTTATCTCTTGCTAATTTCAGAAGGGAAGCTACATCAAACAAGTGCCACTGTTTTACTTGTCCTGCAGCCCTCACCTTTTTCCTGCCTTTTATTTAGTTAGTTTTAGTTATGTAGGCTTACTTGCCTGGTGTGATACCTAGATGACAGTTTCATTCACAGCTAACTGCAAGTGTGGAAGTTCACCTGAGTTTGATGTGGCTCCCACTGTTGCAAATTTCAATGAAAATGAAGGCTACTGAAATGTGTTATGCCTTTAAGTGCCAGCCTGATTTACTGGCAGCTTCTGGGCTCTGGGGCCGTTCCAGAGCCCCCTGGACACATTCAAGCTTCGCCTCCTTTGCTAGTGAGTGAGGGACACACAGTCTCAAGTGGATAGAGGATATACATCGACAAGCTCATTGTTTCTCAATTTATCACCAACAAATAGGCAATGAATGAACCCCTAATACGTCTTTGCTGTATACCTTGGATGTCTTCTCCCCTTCGCCACAGAGCCAAGCGGGTTTACACGATGATGTCGTAGACGCGGCCCACTCGTCCCAGCCATTCCCGCACTGCCTGGCGGACGCGGATGTCCGTCACGTGGCAGGTCAGCTGGCTGATGCAGGGGAACACCGCTGGCTGCAGGGCCATGAACGTTTGGTCTGGCAGGGCCTGAATCTGGTTGAGAACGGTCAGCACCATGTTGGTCCATGCCTGGGAGCAAAGTGGATACAAAAGACTCTTTAGATTACCTTTCTACGTAGGGGAATCCATCTACGTTGAGGCAGAAAGAAAGTGATCTTGTGGGTGCAGCCTCGTGAAGAGGGCTGAGTAATGCCAGCATATTAATTTAATGTTCACCGTGTATGCATAAGTCAGCACTGTAATGCACTGTTCAACTTTGTATTGCAGGTATCACGCTCACCCTCAATCAGCTATTATTTCATCCCATGGTGAACAAAGATTCCAAATTTGACACTTCCCCTGAATTGCTTACTTGGATATGCAAGTAGCAAGTTCCTTTTTAGCAACAGAGCCCAGCATTTCTGCTCCGGAATTAACAAAAATCTTCTTAAATAGAAAAGCATTGCAGCAAGTACCCTCACATTTCCAAAAACCCTTAAGTGGTGTGGAGCCCACAGCAGTAAGCAATGAGGAGACCACAGGTTGATAGTTTTTAGGGAAGAACAGCTTTGGCTCCAGTTACAAAAGCATTCTTGAAAGCTGTGCTAGTATGTGCCTGATAACACCTGCCATGAAGCTTGATCTTCTTTTGATGGGACAAAATTAGCTTTTTGTCTCTGCCAGATACTGAAATATTCAGCCCTCATCATGATGACTTCTTTAGGTGAGGAAGACATTTAATGTAGAGATTATAATCACTGTAATAAAAGCAACAGAAAAAATATTTATAGTTATCTTTAAAATTATTGCTATTAGTATGAGCATTCTACAGGTGTCCTACCTGGATCTGGGCCTCGGCATCCCTAACAGATATATTCAGGGAGCTGACTGTGGATCCTGAGCGTGGTCTCTTCTCTTGTCTCAGGACCTCTGGGCCAGCACTGAACGAATGCCTCATTTGACCTTGGTCTATAAGATGTTGCGGCCGCTGGAGTATGGGTGAGTCCTGCCCTCTGGAGCCCAGGAGCTCCCCTTTCTTTTCCACTTTGACCTCTTTGGTGAAGGATGTCATGGCCTGTTGCTGCTTTCTTTTCTTGTATTCTGTCATGAACTTGGAGATGGTTTTGTCAGCGGCTATGGTGTAGATCTTGTTGCCCGCGCTCTCCCACCACTCTTTTCTCCTTGTTTGCTCTTTTTTCTCTGGTTTAGGACTCAGGGGCGGGGGCAGCAGCAGCATTTCTCCACTTCGGGGTGTCAGGCTGTCTCCCAGCTGGTCCCTTATTTGACTCCGGTCATCTTCTGATGGCGTGTCCTTCCCAGACTGCCCTCCAGTTGATGGGGTGGAGGTTTCTGAGTGAAAGGATGGTAAAATAAAGAAGGGGTCACCTTTGAACACTGGAGGCTCCTCTACGTTGTTCTCCAGGTCTAGATGCATCTGGATGTAGTTGTTGCACAGCTCCATGCAGAGCTTGTGAAGCCGCTTGATTAGCCACCCCCAGTCTGCGTTGCTGACGGGCTGGACGCTCAGAGATGGTATCCGGGCCCTCCACTGCCTCTTCTCCTTCCCCCGGGGTGGGCTGACCTGGGCAGTTTCTTCAAAAATGTCTTCATCTTCTGAAGAGCACTGCTGCGATGAGTCTGTGCTTCTCTCGTCATCTTCAAAGAGGATCTTCTTCACTTGCTCTGCGGTGATGTTCTCCTGGTTTGTCAGGATAGCACAAATTAAAGCATGGAAGTAGATGTTGAAGCTCATGGCTGACTGGCGGTACAAGTTGGCAGCTCCGCTAATGCCTGACACTTTTTTCAGCAAACACTTCAACCCAGGTCTGGTGTCAAACTCTCTGGCTGTTCTGTAGGAGTCCAGCAATAAGTCAAAGATGACAGCCAAGTTTTGCATGGAGATGTACCTGAGAAAACCAGCCAACTTGTTTTCTGGTACTTGTATTGTCATTTTCTCCTCCAAGTTAGAAGGACCTTTGACAAATTCTTCCAGTAAGATGTCATATAAATTCTGGAGCAGTACTTGGTGGGACAGCAAGCTCACCACTATCGTCCTGAAAGGAATACTTGGTAAACCAAGCATGGGAAGGAAAAAACATATAATTGTATCTTGTGCTTTTACTAATAATACAGGAGTACTTAATAGTTAGAATCCAACATGAAGGATGCAAATGAAGGCTTAAATTTTCAGAGCCTTGTTACAAAAAAGTGGAGGAATGTGAAGTGGTCTAGAATGGTCTCTCAGCTATTCTTTCAGACACTTTCCTAGAAGGGAAGGCACTTGTATGTGTTAAGAAAAATAACCATTCACAGCAAGCACTCTGCTGGAACTCAGTACAGAGGCAGTATTAAAACAAAGCTCTGTTATATATATTTTTCCTTTTCTTGAGACAGATTAAATACTCTGTATTTTGATTTCACAGCAGGTGCAGGTACTCTGAGCATTTCAAACTCTTCTAATTGAGGAATTTGTTAACAGATTATGCAGCATCTCTGCCACTGGACCCTAAATATATCTTCTATTGTTGTTGTTGCTGAATGTGAGTTAAGTTGGAACACTCCTAATACTCCTCTATTGGCATCTCAGCAAATTTTAACTTTGCCATGACAAAATGAGCCCTAAGCTGCTTTACCACTTGGCTTCCATTTCTAGTAATGCCAGGGGTACCTCTTAAAAATAAAACACATACAGCCAACCAACCAGTACAAAAAATGTGTAAAACCACCAGCAGTGCAATGGAACATGCAAAGAAGCCCAAGTCCTGCTGAATGTTTACTCTTTAAGACTTCAGCCTGAATACGGAGGTACTACCACAGAAATGTCTACTCCTAGCCCTGTTTCTCACATGTAATACTGGGTGACTCTCTCCTGTTAGAGAGATGTTTGAGTTCTTTATCTCACTGATTTTTGATTTGCACAGGGAACCTATGAACAGCAAGCTCTGCCAGACAAAGTTTTTAGGTAATTCATTAGTAAATAATATTGAGAGGCAGAGGAAGTTAGGAAGAAAAGGCGGATAGGACTGTTGTTAAAGCATGACATTGGTATCTCACAGATTAAAAATTATAAACTGTGAAACTTCTCTGAAATAATTTTAATAGAAGTCTTTTTATCAGGTTACATCTGTTTTAAATACAGATGATACTCTCATAAACATAGCAATAATTATTTTGATTTAGGGAACTATAGCAGACCACATTTTAAGTAGCACTGCTACCAGGTGAGGAAAAGGTTTTTCAGTTTGCTTGCAATACTGAAGTTTTAGGTCTAAGTCAAAGTAAATCTTCATGCAACATGAGATGTTCAGTTGTAGGCCTATAAAATTTTGGTGCAAAAATTATTCTACTTTCATTAAACAACTTTCAAAAGTGTTTTCAAAGTACCAAAACAAAATGTTTGAATTCTTTTCTGGATTGCTTTTTTTGGGGAAATTGTATCAAAAAGTCAACTTAGAGAATGTAATGTTGACTTAAAAAAAAAAAAAACAACCAAACAGAAGAACAGCTGCTTTAACTCTCAAAATTTTGCCTTATATTAATTGATTTGTTGATTGATTCGTAAAACCAAACAAATGGTCCTGATTTAAAAAGAAAGAAAGACAATCCTGAGAGTTTTAAGGGATTTGCATATACTTGACCATGTAGAAAGTTAGATTAGCTAACCCTAGAAGCACTGTTATTTCTGACCTATGTCAGCTCACTTACCATTACTATAGCTGTCAGTGCTGATACATCAGTAAAATTTAATGGCCTTATTATCTGACAGTGGAAAACTCTTGATGATTAATACATACATTGGAGCTCTTTATAGGGAAGTAGTTTTATGCTGTAAAAACCCTTGGAAGCCTTACTCAGAAAAGCTCTTAAGAACCCATATAAAGTTAAATGAGTGCTTCATTTTGGGAGGCTAATCCTGTTCCAAATGCAGGATCAGAATGAAGGAGATCTGCTTTATTTGCAATAGCCATAAAGCCCAATTTACATGGCCAGTTTAAAGTACTGCTTAATTCCAAAAGAAACTGGTACAGAACTGGTGGTGAAAACACGATGCCAAAGCTGGATAAGGACAGTATTTTCTTATTCTGCCTGAAGTTTGGAACTGGAATATATTATTACTTTTTAGGAAGAAGAAAAGCTCCCTTACCCCAGCTTCCTGTGAAACGATGCAGCATTAAGGAAACAAAAGCAAAAAGGGAGAAGAGAAACTCCACTAAGGTTAAAGTAAAACTTTTGAAAGGCCACAGTTACTAGCATGCAAGACTGGCATATTACTGCACTGCTGTAGCAAGTAATACGAAAACTAGTGGCACAGTCAACTTTTTAGCCCCGTTTTGGTGAAAAATGAACACTGCTGGGGTAACATTTCCCTGTCAGGGAATACACTTTTTGCAGTTGTTTAGACAAAGAGCAGTGTGAAAGCATTCAGAGTTTGTATTAATTGCAAGCTTCATTTCTCTGTTTAAAGACAAACATGCTGCCTTTACAAATGCACATGTTAGACTGCACAGCATTATGTGCTGTGAAGGGAGTATTCCAGTCTTTTGCTTTGCATTTGTTGTTACAAGAAGGAGGATCTGCAAACGTTTAGGATAAAAAAGGTATTTTCCCACCAAGAAGGAAGGGGTTAGACTATAATCTCAACCTTTCTTCATCTCTGTGCAGGGCCCTGTCCTGTGACATTAATTAAGGCAACAGAGCACCTGCTCTTGGGGGAAACTTGTGTGCACCTGCATAAGAATGGAAACGTCTTGCATGGTCTTTCCTCCTGTCCATCACATTCTGTCTCCTTGTTACATTCGATAGCTTAGTTCTGAATGAGGATGCCTTAAGTGGTAGCTAGTGTAAGGTCCATACCACTTAGACTAGTGTATCTAGTATAAGACAGTTATATGCCATATATTACATACCTTGCAATACAAACACAAACCCTGAATGCAGAATGCTAATTCTGAGCCCTATTGATGTTATAGTGGTTGTTCAAACAACCAAGTGCAAGCAAAAAGAAATATTCTTTTGCAGGATAAGACTAAGCATCATGCAAACCCATGGGTCTCTGGGGTAGTAACATACAGGAGGGATTTCCTTAAAAAATGAAAAAAGTGCCAAGCAAAAAAAAGTTCCCTAGATCAATATGTTGACAGTTTTGCAGCTTTGGGTGTGACCTCTTTAATTTACACTGGTCCAGATTGCCCATTAGATTTTCTCCACCTCCTTAATCTGACAATAGTGAATTTAAGACTATCAGTGAAGCAGATGTTATTTCATTTGTTAAGTATTATTACAAACATAACAACACTTCCAAAATTTTCTTCAAAAGAGTATTTTTACTCTATTTTTTTTTTAATAGCTCAGTATGAGAAAGGTTTTTCCAATATTTCCTATAAGAATTCTTTTCCTTATTTCATCTATGTTTCCTTTACTTGAAGGGTTTGTGTGACCTTATATATATGTATTCTTCAGGTATTTGCAACCTACCAACTCTTACTACCTATTAAGAGCATTTTCCTCATCTAGTTTTCTAAAGGTCACATTACAGAAACTGCCACAGGCCTGTCTGTAACTGTTACAGCTCTTGCACATGCCTGCCCTAGTGAATGATGATGTGAACATTTAAAAAACATACAGCAGTAAACAGTTGTCTCCTGTGTCAAAAAATAAGTAAGTATATATATTTCATCAGTGTATTTCTTGTTTTTGATGAGACCTGTAGAGAGGCATAGCTTGCCAAGGCCCTGTTCATATCTCTGACAGTATTTTTTATCTAGCTTTTAATGACAGTGTTTTCCTGAGAAGATGCTTTACCTTCTCTGGGTATGCCCATTTGGTTTTTTATCTGGTGGCAGATCAATAATGAGCACACATGACTGGGCATGTTCAAACCCTTCCTTGTTGCTGGGGGTCTTCGGGGAGCACTGAGTCTCCAACATGAAGACCTGGAAAACAACAAGTGATAGAAAACAATCAGTTTAGCACTTGCACTGGGTCCTTCAAGAGCCTGACAGTAGGATTTCCTGGATTGTGACAGATCTGGTGTGACAACTTATTTATAGAGATTAAAGGACTGCAAGGTATCCACAGCAGACCTTCCCTGGAGCTTGCTGCTTTGATAAACAGCCTCAAAGCCATGGGCTGCCTCCAGACACCCAGCAGAGCACATGGAAAATGACACATATCTTTTTTGCTGAACTTGTATAAGGTATGACACTTTATAAAACAAGCTTTATGCTGTGTGCTACTACCTGTAAGTGTAACATATAGTAGAGACAAGGACCTGTCTACATAGTTCATCTGTTCTACCTAGAAAGGTTGGTTGATGGAAGGATCACTTTCACCCACAATGAGACAACAGACACCTCGCTTGTACTTATTTGGGAGGGAAGTGGGGAAACTGCTCTCAGTTGCTGTGGCTTTGTTTCACAGCTCAGTAGCTGTGTCAAATTCCCACTCAGAAGGACTCAGGCAGTGCCACTGAAGGGAGTCTACTACAGGAGTCTAATTCCTACATTCCCTTTTTTATGAGTTTTGCCTCTTTAAAACTTTTATTTTAAAACACTTTTTCTATTCAAAGCCTGCCACTGTCATATTGTTTGTGATCACAAATCTGAGACATCTCAGATTTTCAAGCAGCATCAGGGTATGATTAATCAAGTCAGAAATCGACATCAAACATCTGTTGGCTCTTTAATCCATCTGCTTTCTCACACTGAAACTGTCATACAGTATTGACAGTTTTAAGGTGCCCTGTAGGTCATTAAGTTCAGTCTGCTGTATTTCAAGGAACTTATTTCCTATAATCACTTTCTCAGAATGAAAACCCTATGCATTTATACTTTACTCGTGTATTTATAGATATAAAAACCAACTATATTCCTCTGCAAACTCTGCTTTGATAAGTTGAACAAACCTAGTTTTTCTAGTATCACATCACAGTCTCTGTTCTAATTTATTTTTTGCCCTTTGAATCTATCACTCTTACAGAATAGCCAGAAATGTGTATGACATTTTAGATGAGAATTCACAGTGACACTACTATTTCTCTATCAGAAACACTTCCAAAGATTTATGTTAGGATTGCCTGTTTTTAAGCTATGTTGTACAATAGGCTCATAGTCCTGATTCAGGTATCTAAGCATTTTCCCCCACCCAAACATTCCTCATTTCTGCCTATAGGGTAACAGTTTTATTTATTTATTTATTTTCCTAGCTCTTATTTCTTTTTCTCACTACTACTGTTAGATAAATAAGTGTTAGTCTAGTGACGAGGAAGTCTTTTTCAATTTGCCCATAGGGTTTGTGGGGAAGGTTGCGGTAAAAAGGTGCTCCAAGGAAAAGCCCCAAGTTTAAAAGATTCTCTGACTTTCCCTGAAATGTCAGTCTCTACCTGTTGTGCCATGGCTCTGATTCTCCAGTATTCAGCTTCAGCACTCGGTGAGAGGGAAGGGGCTGCCACCTTCACTTCACAGGCATCTCCACTAAAGCTTTCAGAACCACTGTGGAAATAGCCCAATAGGTTCTATAGAGAGACACAACATCAGACTTTCACTGTGCGTTAAATTAAGTCAGTGACTGTAGAGCTGTCCAGTCTGTTCGTGGTAATACAAGATTCGTGGTGATCTCTCCCAATACCATCAGCCGATCACCTGCTGTTTAGCATTCATTGTATTTGATGCAAATGCATTACAACTTCTTATGTAGTCTGGCCTGTGATGACTTAACAGGATTTTTTGTTACAAGACAGTGAATTGGGAAATAATCTATATGGAGCATGCAGCAACAGCATCAAGTAAGCAACTTTGTCTTCTGTCTAGTTTCAGACAACCCAGAAGAACTGGATCAAAAAGTAAGTAAGTAAGTTTCATATTGGCAGGGCAATTTAAAATAAGTCTGCACTGTTAGTGACTACTGTTGTATGTACCATGTTTAGAAAAACTGATTTCAGTCTCCATTGTTGATCCAACACCTTTCATCTGAGTGAATCAAAAGATAACAAAAGCAACAACATAATCTTTAAGCTTCTGTTCCTGGCTCAGTACCCAAATAACTTTTATGGGGAAAAAAAAAAAAAAAAAAAAAAAAAGAAAAAAAAAAAAAAGCAACCTGTCAAAAGTTAGTGTCTATAATTAGTTTTGACTGACAGCAAAAAGGCAGTTTACCTTCACTGGCTCCAGAGTGGCAGAGAATGCATCCTGCAAGGCACAACATGCAAGCCTCCACATCTCCTCAGTAAAAACAGGTCCTGCTGTCACTAATACATACCTATGAGTATGGGACACAGGAAAACATTACTGTAAGAAAGAACTAGACAATTCTCTCCTGTAATGGGAGCAGGTTGAAAACTAAAGGAAAGGCCCACTCAGCAGCTAAATAATGATTAAAAATTACCAGTTGTCCTGACCTATTTTTGTAATTACACTGTACTTCTGAACTACTTTTTCCTTTGATTTTCCTCTTTAAGCAGCCATCTCTCCAGGACAAGAACCATAATGGAATGCTTATTTTGACTATGATTGCAGTAACCTGGAGACTGTGAAAGGGATTAACTACATCCAAAGACCTGTGAATTCCAAAAGAAAGCTCCTGGATTATTTTTCCTAAGGATCAATTATTGTCCAACTACAGATAAATACTGTACAAGTGCTTTTCATGGGAATGATACACATAGCAATGCCCAAAATTACAGGTTCTGAAGAAGAGAGAAAACAGCAAAAAAGGCTGGTAAGTCTAAAATTCATTGTTCAATAAAAAGAGATAGATATATTGTAGACTTCTTTTGGAATGCTAGCCAACTTACTCAGTCAGAGTACGACTTCAGAGTCATCTTCAGAGATAATAAATACATGTTTTTTTGAATATTTTACAGAGCTAATAGATTGTTACCTGATACATGAGCAGCCAACTCTGGAAATGATTTCTGTTGGCTCTGCTACACAGGCTACCAGTAACTTGAAAAGATCTTTTAGCATAGCATTGATCATATTTTCATAACCAATATCTGTAAGGAAAAGATATGGACTGGTTTTATTTAACATCATTGCTTTTCATTATAATTAAAGACAGACTTGCTACACTTATTGCCATTCAGAGACATTGCAGAAACAATTATTTTTATGCAGATAGCTCTAGAGTTCAATTCGAAACATGCATCGCATCAAACTGAAATAAGAGCAGCCCTTTTGATGTTAACAATACAAAATAGCTGGATTTAAGTGGTACTAGAGAAATTATGTTAGCTCCTGTTTCTGGAATATTAGTTCTTTAAGATCAAAGTCTTGCCATCCTCTTTTGGAAAGCGTAATACAGATTGTGATGATTTAATTTTGAAGATAGCCCTGCTGTGTGTAGGAGGATGGACTAAGTAATACAAATAACCTCCATAGTTCCCTTACAAGTTACATTTTTCCATAATTACAACCCCTTTAAATGCTATTAAAAAGGAAAGCAAACAAATTCTCAACCCTCCTTCTCTTATTTTATGCTTAAGTGACCAAAAAGCAATGAAATCACCCTCCCAAGTAGCTGTTAACTAACATGACACCAATGACTGTCAGTAGAGGTGTTAGCGTAATGACATACCTGAGTGGATGAAATTTTGGATGTGCTCCACTACGAGTTCACAGGAAAGGCCGATGGCATGCTTGAAATTAGCGGATGCCACATCCCAGTAAGAATGGTCACCATGGCTGCGATGGAGCCAAAGGGACATCGTGGGAAGAAGAAGATGTACAACTGCATAAATGCCAAATCCTGGGCCTTAAAATAAACACAATGATGATTGTATATTTTTGCTTACACAGCCTATGTTTGCAAAGTTGTTCCAAGGTTGAGGCCAGGGGTGATGCCAAAGAAAGGAAGTTCTGGAACTTTTTTTTTTTTTTTTTTTTTTTATAGGATGAGGGGGGGAGCAGTTTTGGATTTAATAGCGAGGTAGTATATGAACATTTACCCAACTGTGTATCTCCAGTGCTGCCCAGCAGGTCTACAGGGCTGTGTAACTTTATCAGTTTCCTGGACACCAAGAAAACTTCTTCCATGGCTAGAACATTGACAGAATACTGCACCTCTTTAAATTGTGCATGTGGAACTGCAACTCCTACAAGGTGCCTTTTGTCAATATAAACCAATAGGCTAACTGGAACCACAAATCATATTTTGAGAAAATCCCTTTGTATTTGAAAACATCTCTGTACCGCTCTAGCATGAGTAATGCAGTTCAAAGAGGTTGTTTAGGATTCTAAGAGTGTCAGGTCAGGGCTCTAGTAGCTCACAGTTTATCAAGACCTTTAATTACCAGGAGTCTTGGCAATGTCCCTCAGCAATTCAAAGAGCAGATCCAGAGTCGGAGGTTGGTGCTGGCGGGGACAGTTGGATATGGCAGTTGTTAATTCTTCCAGTAGAATAATCCAGACATTGATAAGACCTACAAGCAAGGAAGCAAAAATTAAAAATCAGTATGAGTGAGAGAGTGCATAGACCACAGGTGGAACTTGCCCTCAGAAAGTGATGGAGACTAAGAAATTAATTAACTTAAAGATCATGTGTTCTTACTCAATCACTGCTGCTGTATAATGGTGGTGGGCAGTATCACTTTTTGAAATGATGGTCCCCTTTTCTTTCCTTTTTTATTAAGTTTCCTATGTTGTCCCTTCCATCCTGCTCCACACACACCTTGTTGTGGTGTTTTTTTTTATTAATCTGCTGCTCCCAGTGGTCCAGATTGTTTTTTACTCCCTCCATAATGTATTTTAAAGTCTAGTATTGGCATCAGCCAAGTCAGTCAGTGAAATTTGTATCTTTTAGCTTTTTCCTTACAGAACATACAAAACGTAAAGTCCAATAACCAAATGAATGTCCTCTGACGTGTTTCACAGCAGGTTTTTTTTGTTGCTGCACAAAAAAAAATTCTCAGCCTTTTCCAAAGACTTTGAATCACCCCTACAGAAAGATCTTATTAGAGTAAATACTGTGTTTTATTTACATCTTGAAATTTCACTTGGGAAAAATCAAAACTGTAAGAATACGAAGCAAATCCTGCAAGCAGTACATGTATAATTATACATGAAGCACAGAACTCACTAAAGGATCTTTTAAAGAGTAAATGCTGCCTGGAATGGATTGTACCTGTTTTGGCTATGCTTTTAGCTAAGGGTCCTAATGTGACCATCTGTAACTCAACTGGCTTGATTTGGTACCCAGAACTGAAGAGTGATAATGCCTCAGGAAGCATCATCAGGCTGCCTCACATGTCATCTTTAGGTGTGTAAGAGGTCACCGAGTATTAAATATGAATACAGCAGAAAACTGCTCGAAAAGCAATCAGGATGCAAACAGTACTGAGACTTTGAATGTACATTAGCAAACCCTTAAAACATTATAGGATGCAACTATTTTTCAATACGAATTTGACAATGGTTAGGAACTGCTGCCTTTAATTTTTCACCAATCACGTAAGTACTTGCTCATTTCCTACATTATATCAATGTTTAGAAGGATCTTGCACAGTTACTCACTGCTCCTGTAATGTATTGTGTTACTCTTGTGGTAAGTCTCCTTAAAAGCTATGGATTTATTAGGTTAAAATTGATTTTACTTTGCTTCGCTAACAAGCCCATCTTCTCTGCCACCTGTAGCCATGCTGATGCAGTTAGTTTGTGTCTGCATGATGCTTGCTGGTTAATTATGTTACACAAGCAATAAAAAAGTCTGTGAAGGATCGTTAAGATGCACTGAATGTGCTGACTGCAAAAGTCTTCCTGAGAACCAAGGAAAACAGAGTGGGATCCTTCCTCAGTTACTGCATTGATCGGTCATTTATTCACACCACTTCCTCAGGGTACATTCAGTATGTGTGGTGACATTGTCCGGAACCATACAGATTTATTTAATGTTCTTTCTAAACAAGGAAACAGCACAACTCACTCAGCGCTAAGTCTGGCTCTCTTCAGATCTGGAAGAACTGAGAAATATCCTTGTTTAGAAACAAACTTGAGGAGTTTGTCATGGAATCAAAGACAGCATGAAAATACACTGCACTACCGTGCAGCAAAGTAGGCTAAAATGTTTTGTTCCATCTTGGTACTGACTTTTGGGACTTGAGTAGTGCTCACCTGAGGTAGGGAAACCCTAGATTAAGTTCCAAGCCTGACTCAAAGCAGAGAATTCAGTGCTTTGAGTCTCCCACATCCCAGGTAAACATCCTAAAATTTCCAGAGACAAATTAATACTCCAAAGACATAGAAAAAAGAAAGTCCAAGTGTTTCTTTCTTTCTTTCTTTCTTTTTTTTTTTTTAAATGAGGACTTGTGGTTTACTTTTTCAGAGAGCAAAAAAAAGGTTTTCTCTCCTTTATCAAGGGCAGCAGTAGAACAGCATAATCCATGTGATGAAAGAGCCTAAATAAAAGGAGGTACCAAGAATGGCTGCTGAGGCACCTAAATTAAAGGCATTGGAGTCAGCCAAGTTTTCTAAATGGTTGGAGCTGACTTTTCACAGAGGTATTTGGATCTGAACAGCTCTGTAATTCAGAGGTTCAAAAGTGACTGTACTGCTTCAAAGGGCCATAACAGGTCTAGAAGCACAAAGTCTGCATTCCTCTACTGCTTGGCTCCACACACATCTACTTCTTAGATTCACCTGGTTAATCCACAACTCGTATGAGCAACACTGATAATCAGGAGGTGAAATGCTGCTTGTTTTTTTCTGGAGGTCATAGTGCTCTTTATAGATTTTAGAAATACATCATTTGGTTCAATAGACCACAGGACATAAGTTTGGGAACATATTTAAGCAAGTATTTTTTATCTTTCCAAACTTTAACTCAACACTGTGATATTTTTTTTTTTAAAGGCAGGACTGCCAATACCAACCTTAAAAGGTTTCACTCCTTTAATGAAATTGTGGTCCAGAAGGTATTCTTATGTTAGCTCTTGGGAATATATATAGTTTGTATTATGAATGTCAGGACAATTAAAATATTATTAAACTAATTACAGTGTTATTACCTTGTCCCAAGAGACAGGCTGTATTTTTCTCATATATGAGCTGTATCTTTTAACATAAGGGTGTTGACAAGTTCCAAGCTGTGTGTGGGGGGGTTTGTGTGTGTGTGTAGACAACAGAGACAATAAACTATGAAAAGCTTTTCCCTTCCCTTTTTGCTTTTGGCAGCTGGCAAAATTTATGGTGACGTGTGGAGGAAGCAATCGATTCATTCCTCATTTACTGCTTTCAGTGCACTTACCAGTGTCATCATCAAAGTCAGAAAGGATGCACTCAATACCATCCTCACTGCTGGCTGATTGTTCCTGCACTCGTCGGGGCAAATTAACAAGCCGGCCACTGAGGAAGATAGGTTTCAGGGGCATTTTATAGATTTTGGCTAACAACTGGAGAAAAAAAAAAAAGAGAGAAAAAATACATTAGAGAGAAAAATATATGCAGGAAGGTGTGCAAAGGCTGTCACATACTGCACAGATAATAAAATAAGATGAAATGAAATGAAATAAAATTAAATTTATGAAAGCAGCATAGTACCAACATCTGCTCTGATCATCCAGTAACAGTGTAAATTTAAAACACAGCGTGAGCTCAGTGATCTTCTGACTATTTACAAGAAAGGGGTTGGGATGCAGGGGGGGAAGAGAAGGAGAAAATTAATTTAAAGAACATTTTTTTGGGGAAGGGAGTGTGCTCCTCCCTCATTTGTGGAAGACAAATGTTACTACTTACTGATTGCACCTGTGTCCTGGGAAGCTCCATTAACTGTACAGAGTACTTTGGAGCTCTGAAGGGCTATATAAATACTGATAAAAGCACCTGTACTGGTCTACTGCAGAGCTTCCATTACACAGCAAATATAAAATTTGCAGAATTATGGTATAGAGGAAGTTAATACTTACAAGTTTGGTAAGCTGGGATGCTTACCAGAGTTTTATTTCATGGGACTTTCTACAGTAAACCATTTTTCTGCAATGTACAAACAGGCTTTCTTTTTAATCAATCCATTTTTTCTTCCACTGGATAGTTAAAATGTATAGCAAGACAAAAATGCCAAAAATGCTTTATTTTAAAATGGAGAAAATATTTCTGCCTCGCAGTGGACTGGGGTTTGTAAGGATGTGATGTGATGCACATAACATATAGGTAGAACATACATTAAATATACACACTATATTCAGTATTTTTTTTGAGGTGTTTATTAGGCTGAGCTGCCTTACTCTTTCTTTTTCCACCAGTCAGTGTACTGAATACACCTGTTATCACTGAATTTAGATAGTAAGTCATTTCAGCTATTGCAATGTCCTTTGCTAAGTGTTTATTATACCTAGAAAAAAGATGCCCTGGGTCCAACACAAAGACCTGCAAGTACTACAGAAATACAAACAACATCATAAAAATCAGACAAAAACATCCTAATAACCCTAGACAGTAATCTGTGCTATCTGCATGGAGACTACAGGGAAGATGCCAATATTCTAATTGTTAGAGATTTGCCCAGAGCTTCAGATGTATTTTCATGGTACAGATAAGCTGCTGCTGTGTTTTAGGAGGGTATAACTTGTCGCTCTTCTTAAGATCTGAGAATTTTCATTGACTTTTTCTCCTTTATTTCAAGTTCTGTTTACAGTAACTGTTTAAACTAGAAATAATGTAGCTTTGGATGTGTTACTACTGGGTTTTGAATGTTCACATTTTCCCAGGTGCTCCTTGTTTCTGAGTGCTGTTACCTCCTCTGTTTTCCCACTGTTTAGCTGGCCTAGAATGCACGACGCTTGTTCAGATTGCCACTCTATCTGGCAGTGCACCCTATTATTGCTGGCTTTATAACAAATTCTGTGGTGTTCATGCAAATTATCTGATTTTTGATACTGATGCAAAGCCTGGAGGTAAGGACTGTTTCCTGTATAACATTATTCAGCATACCTGAGAACATCTCCTGAGGTAATCAAGCGCGGGAAGGCACAAGTCTGTAGATGCTGATCCTGGCACACAGTCACCCATCTCCTTACAATCTACTTCCCCTGAGGATGGCAAAGGCAGCATTGGGAGGGACAGAAGAAGAGAAACAAAGTTTCAGTTTACGGCTCATTAGAAGTTTTGCATTTCACAGAAGGAAAAAAAAAGTCAATGCCACAGTTCAGTGAAAAGTGTCAAATTCTAATGATCAAGGCAGCATTCTGGACTCAATTTCTTCACTGCCTCTCTCCTCCCTTCCACACTCTGTATTATGTAATAGGATTCTCATCTTCTCCAGAATCTGATGTACTATGGCTAATAGAATAAAAGGAAAGTAAGAATATTTACCCAGTCCTTTCACAAACTTCATAAGGCACATAATATAACTGGTGGCGGCATTAGCAAAGACCTGGATGCTGTCTGTGTTTAGAAATGCTTCAAAGACATCAAACACCGGGGCCTGGCGTTTCCCTGTGGAAATAACAAGATGAGACCTTACCCCCATCCCCCATAAAGGTGATGTTCCCACAGTTTCTCAACAATTTAATTGAATCTGTAGAATATCTTCTATTCTGGGCAGAGACAGAAATGCTCTAGAAGTAAAACCTAATATGCTTTCTTCTCTTGCTCCTGAGGCAATTTGTGTAACCCTATACAGAAAGTAATACAGACTGCCTTGTCTTATCACTGCAGCTTACCACTGCACAAATAGCAAGGAAAGGTTTAAGCTCTTGAACTCAGGTGAGTAGCTAACAGTTCTGTTTAGTGGAGGTTTGTAGTTCAGTCCTCAATATAACTGTCAAGATGACAGCACCCTCAGGGAAAACTATTCTGGCTATTCTGATACAAAATACCCTTGTTTTTCCTAAGTAGTTTATCAATCTTCAGAAGCTATGTACACTTGCATTGTAACTGATCTGGAAGACAAAATTTAGGAGACAAATCGTATCAGTCACTAGTACTAGAGTTTGCCGTACACTTCTACACTAGTAATTTGAATCCCTGTGGTTAAGTGCTTGGACAAGCACCTGCCTGGACTATCACACTAACTGACCTTGATGTGTAAGAGCACCATGTCATAGTAAGAAAAACCGTCCACATGAGGAGTGGTGGCTATATGCACTATGCTTCCCTGCCCAAGCCCTGCAGTGATGAGGGCCCAGCCATGCTTGGTACTCCTGCACTACCGTTTTGCCTATAATATTCTAATAGGCTCGAAGCATGTTTTTCTCATTCTACTCATCTGCCAGAATCTAAGAGATAAAAACAACATTACCTCTGCTTTCCCTCCCAGCCCAACTAATAAACCAGATACTTCACTACTGTCTTAGAGTATTACAGCACCACCGCTACATTGTTAGCTGTACTATTTCAGAACATCTGTTCAGGTGGGGCATTTAAAACATACCGAGTTATTTACTATGTCCCCAAGGAATAAAGTAGTGAAATAAAAGCACATACAAATAAAATGCACAGTCAGTGCAGTAAGTCCTTACCCATAGAGTATTCTCCTACAAGGTATTCTTTAACCTCTGACTTATTGCCGCTGTGAACTGTTTCCAGGGCACTGAACAGGGGTCTCCATCCTGACTGGATCTGGGTAGAACACATTTCCACCAACTCACCTATAGAGGTGACCACCTGCAGACAGAGTAGGAAAGGTTGAAAGAATAAAACCAAAAAACGGAACTGATACACAGCTGGACCTGCAGAAGGAATAAGGATAGCTTTAAACCCATCTCGAATTCACTCTGTTTTATCTAGATTTGAAAATCTAGGCTATTATCTTAGGTATATAATAGAAAAATGTATTTAATCACTTTAAAAGCAGGTGTACTTCTACTGAAGAACTGGTCTAACAAAAAAACAGGTGTGACCAGGAGTAGAGTTCTGAAAACACAGTGCTTCTGCAACTCTGCGTAACCATTCTTTGAAGGCACTGTTCTAATTAATACCTGTTATGGAAGAATCTCAGGAAAAGAAATACTTTGGTAGGTGTGAATATCCCCTTTGGGTCTGTTTCTGAGGGAAGACCAAAATGAAGAACAGGGCCTCATATACACCACTCAGCAACTGCTTTGCAGAAAAACAAAACAAAACAAACAAACAAAAAAAACCATAAACAGTAGGTTACGCAGAACTAGAGCAACATGTCAGTGCTCTTTTCCAGTACAGAAAGATACCTGTACTCTACCATAGTGCTAGCACAAGTCGGCAGAGTCCTTCTGATTCCTTTAAGATAATTAGGGGACACCATTTAAAAGGAATTTGGGAAAGAAACCCACAGACCAAGCGCGCTATGGAGACCATTCTTCTTATGGGCACAGTAGGTTAGATACAGATACACTAATCAGGGCTGACTTGCCTGGTCCTGAACATCCTCGTCACACAGCTCTAGCTGCATGATACGCTCAAAGGGGCGGAAAAGCGACTCGTTAAAGTGAAAATGAGAAGGTTCACTCCAGTCTGTCAGCACTTCAGTGAGGATGTCGTGGATGAAGGAGACAGCCTTCCGAGACACGTGTCTCTCCTTATGACAGGCAGCCTGCAGGGAGAACATGAGTGTAAGACTTTGCTCAAACAAAAAAATTGCTTTTAGTAAGACAATTTTAAGGGAGGCAAGCATTTCATGTTGCTGAACCCTGAAGATAGCTTCACCATTAATGTGACTGGGGACCCCACTGCAATGAAAAAGGACTGCTATGGAACAGAATGACTGAGAATCTGAGCTGCCTGGGATCCTACAGATGCCTGAAGGTTTGATGAAAATTCAAGAAGCACAGAGGCTAAAAATAAACAATAAAACCCACAGAACAGATCTCATGTTAAGTGCTGTCTTTTGTTTCTACTATGTGACCATTTTTTCCCTTCAAAAAAGTAGTTTCTGCATATACACACCATACTTGAAATATGCATGATCAATGCCACTTTTTATTTGGCTACTTATGAAAACTGAAAGTGAAGAGAACCTGCTCACTTTGGAAGGGCTGTGAAAAAAATAAGTACCAGTGAATCTGGACATAAAGTTGCTCTATTTTGACCCACCATGCAGGTTATACTGAATTCCTTTCCCCAGTGTTGCTCCTGCCCAGTAATGCCCTCACCTTCACTGAAGTCAGCCACAAAGATCGACCACCTCTGCCTTCGAAAAACATGGAAATGATTTGAGGAGTATAAACTGGTTTGGGATATTGAAAGGCTTAAAAGTGCTGAAAACATGGAGAGTATTTAAAATGGTCTCAAGCTGGCATCCAAAGACAAGTGAGACTTAAATTTTCAGGATAAAGGGCTGTTACAGCATACAACGAAATTACTAGCTGCAATTTCTACTTCACTTAGAGGTATTCCACTGAGACTCCCCAACGTCTGAACTCTGTTGTAAGATGCTCCACACATTTTCTTGAGTCAATGAAATTAAGTGCTATGGCAATTTACTGAATTGCTTGCTCATCTTAAACTTTCAACACACCTAGGCACATGATACCAGGTATCTCACTAACAGAAAACAAGTACTGCACATTTATTAATACCAATGATATAAATCAAAAAGCTCTGAGAAGTCAATGCACCAGCATTTCACCAAATAAGACAGAAAGTTTGGTTGAGGAAACAGATTATGTGGCTGCTACTGGCACGCCACTGACCAGAGTACACAAAGAATAAGAGGAAAGAAAATATTTAACAATCTTCTCAGTTGTGCTGTCTTTATATGGGCTTTTTATGCATCCTTTTATAGACACACTTGTAACGATGTAAGCCTTGACTCAGAAAATAAATGGAGAACTTGCTTGTAACCTCTTAGGGTGGTTTCAGTTTTTCACCACACACAAACAAGAAGTATCACATCACAAAAATCCAGTGTGCTGTCCCTAGGCCTAGCCATTTCAGTAGGTTATTTAGAAGTACAATCCTCGTGGCAGTATGACAAGAGATGACACAGTATATACAATACTGCAACAGGACTGAGACAAAATTGGACATAATGTTGAGGGTTAATATACATTTTAAGAGCTATTGAGCCTTCTCCATCTGTTTCAGCTCTGCCATCTCTTGCACCCATTCCCATTTTCTCCCCCACTCCTACCTCCACCAGGTGAGGTGCCACCAGGCTCCAGCAGCGCATGAGGTGGAGCAATGGGCGGGATTTACTCCTTACGATTCTGAGCATGGCATCACCAAGACGAAACAAGTGAAGTGCGCTTCTCCTGTCCTGGGTGGATTTTACTTCACCTACAAGGAAGTAAAAGCAAATAATTGGAAGCTAACAAACAGCTGTTCCTCTATCTCTGGATGTCTAAAGAGGAATTTAAATCTGGTTAGAAATTAATACAAACCAGCTAGAAAGAAATCCTAGTTATCCCTGTGTAGGTAATAGAACAAGATATGGACTGACCCAAGCTTTAAGAACAATGTACTAAAATCACTTCATTTTTATTTAAGTGAATAATTTTTTGGGGAGCACTTTTAAGACATAAATAAGTGGGAAGGCTAATGCATTATAATTCTGTTATGATGTCCAGTACAGGTAAGTGCAGACAAATTAAGCAAGGAGTTAAACAATTGACACAGAGAACCAAAACAGTAGTTGCAAAAACCTTTAGTGACATCTACAGGAAGAACACAGACTGCAGATTATTTAGCTTTGGCTTGTCTTTTGTATTTCTCGCCAAGCAAAGGATGTGAAGCAGAGAATTTGAGAAAACGATCATCTGCGTGTGAGCCACTAATACACTTTATTTTCTATTGAAAAGGATTCATTTTCCTTTCCTCTTACAACATTTGGAAACACACTTCATTGTCTCATTAAAATATGGGCACAACACTTAATAAAAAGATGTATGTGCAATTAATTGCTCTATCTTATTTTAATAGCATTATTACTAACTACTGTTGATTTACTGCTACATATAAGTCACTATTTATTAAAGTGACTATTTATTAAAGAAAGTGATCAGCGTTGAGGCCTGGAGACAAGACAGAACAAAAAATGAAAAATTATGTTTCATATTGAGATAATGACAGATAGTACCTCAGGGAGAGGGGAAAACAATTGAAGTGGAGACATACACAAGATAAAATCCATGTCTGCCACAGAACTGACAACATTTTACAGGCTTTGTACTGTAAGGTATATGCTCCACTTTTCTGGGGAAGAGAAAGCAAGACAATTTTTCACATTCTTCAGTTGTGTGCTTTGTTTGCTATCACTGATTTTATGAAGACATCTGAGGTTATCCCGAGTGTCAAATATTTAAGCTAAATCCACTATCTTAGCTCTACATTCACCCTGAGTTTCCTTACCAGATCTGGTTCGAAAATGGAGCTGTGATTAAATATTGGTGAATAATTAATGCCCCAAAGTCCAATAACCAAATGAATGTCAAGTGTGGATGTAGTCCCTGTCCAAAAAAAATTCTCAACCTCTTCTAAAGATTCCTACAGAGAAATCTTACTAAACACTGTTTTATTTATACCTTGAAATGTCACTTGGAAAAATCAAAACTGTAGTAATACAAAGCAAATCCTGCAAGCAGTACAGTTGTACAAGAAACAGAGAACACTGAAAGGGATCTTTAGGCAATTTACCTGGCATTGCTAGAGAGTAATCAACTGTATCTGTGACTGAATGGAAAAGCTGGGCCTGAGAAGCCTTCTTGAGCTGGTAAAGAAAGCCTGCCAGTGCCATCAAGTTTAACTTGTCAACAGCATCTTCAAAGAGCCTGTGACAAAAAGAACAGAAACCAATTGAAAAATTCATGATACAGAGACTTAAATGTGCATATAAGAGGAAAATCCTTATGTGTCAATAGCTTCAGTGTGTTGCCTCTGGCAAAACATTGGTTTATAAGGGGTTTCTTTATTTATATTGTGCTACAGAAAGACTTTGATACAGAAATATCAATTGGAGAGTGGGAAGCAGAGTGCCGTAGGACCAACCAGAACCTTTCCAATATTCAACTGCAGCACTAAGACAAAAAGCCACTTTTTCAAAGAATCACCGGTTCCCCATTACTTTATCTGCCATAAGCAGTTTGCGAACACTGATTTAGAAAATTGAGAATATGCTCAGTCCTCACAGTTAACATCATCATAGCTTCAGTGACTTTAGAGTTGCCGCAGTTTGTTCCATCTGAAAAGCCCCTTACATGAAAACAAATTAACTTAAGTCTTAAAGTGGCTGTATCTGAATTGCTATTTAGGAATATAAACAGTTGTTATTTTCAGCTGCAATGAGCATTTACGATTTAAGAGTTAAAATATGTGCCCTTTAAAGCAGTGAAATTTTGCTTAGATAGGAGGTAGGTTTCCACAGAGATCACAAACAAATTCACATGGTACAGCCAGAAGTACAATTTCCTGCTGCTGCTTTTCATGAAGAAATTTCTATTGTCCTGGGAAACTAGGCATTGAGTCCTAATGATGTCTGCACTGAAGGAACAAACCTGTGTCCTAAAATTACAGTACTGCTGTTATTTAATCCTTGGAATGAGGCTGGAATCATGAGCTTAGTGAATAAAAGGTACCGTCCATGCACAGAATCAAACAGCTAGATAGCTGACACAACAGGATATTAGAAGCAAGCAAAACCAGGAAGTTTTCAACTGTATCCTTGGCTGACAAATAAATGGCAGAAATAGGCAAGAAAAAAGTCTGTGACACATCAGTCTGCAGACTGTGCTGTAGGGACATTTAACCTAGCCAGTCTGTGACCGTGCATGGCAGCTTTCCCTCCTGCAGCACCTTGGGGCAGGCTGACAAGCTGTCCACATTGTCTTGACATTCCTAACTGACATTGGTCTTGACAACTACAATTTTGTCTGCTCTAAGGAGCAAAGACAATAGATGAATGTACATGCCAGCAATAAATCTTCTACTCCCAGGATGCATGTGATTTACATGGCATATTCACCGTTGTGTATGCACAGACATACTCAGCCCAGTGCTTCCACAAAGCAGGGCAGGTACAGCAGAGGTGCAGAAAGGCAAGAATTTTAGGAACTGCTGGTAGTGACACACATGTAGCTCTCTTGTGAAACTCAACTGAAACAAGTAGCTGTAGCAGACATAAAAATCAGGCCCCACTGCACCACAGAAAGGATCTATTTCATCTTGTCCTGTGAACACAGACTCTAGTCATGCTTTTACCTATCAGCTTGTGTGGAGAGTGTGAGAACAGCCTTGGCAGCACTGGTCCCACACAGCAGGCTGCCCCCACGGAAGTCGAAAGCTCTGCCCTTACTGCTCTCCTTGATGAGCTCCTGGATGGAAACCGGCTGAATAACAGGGTTGCTGCTGAGGGTGGTTCTCTTGCTCAGGTGTCAGTTCCTGGGGAGACTCCCCCAGCTCCGAGTCTGGTTGCAGGCCTCCAGGTGCCTGCTGTGACTGGGTGATGGTAAGGGAGGGCTGGGAAGCACCATCGCTGAAGTGGGTGTGCTCCAGCGTGCTGATGTACTCACACACCCTGCGAACAAGCAGGAGAAGGAAAAGATGGATAAACACCCCAGAATATCAACTCTTGTATCCCTAAAATCAGAGGGCTCGCTGAAGAAATGCTTGGATCTGTACTCCAGAAGGAGAGTGTAAGTGAAGCTCTCAGCCAGACCCAATACCAACCATAGGTAACTTGTCTTCTTATAGTCTAATAAGTAACTTACAGTTACTTATAGTCTAATAGTAACTTGTCTTCTCTGTCTTTCTTTGGCCTCCCATGCTTCTCAACAGCAAACAGCTTAGCTGAGGAGCCTGAAAGGCCTTTTAGGTTCCTGGGTCTGCAACAGTTTTCTGGTAATGCTGAAATTTCTAAACATTGATTTGAAGTTTCTAAGCATTGATTTCATCTCTAAGCAGTGGTGAAAAGAAGTGTCTTTTCTCTTACAGATAATAACAGTTAATTCACTCTGATACTTGTTATACAGAAAACTACCAGAGTATGTAAAGTCTTTAGTCTCATTCTGGTACTTTCAGGCAACATGGTATAAATTCGGTTTCTTTTGGGAAAGCTGCTGAGTACCTGAACACATGAGGCCAGCAGTCCTGATTATGGCTTCCCATCTCCAGGCCCACGTTAAGGACTGCATCCATACACAAAACATGAGCAGTGTGTAGGCAGACTCCCTGCACTTTCCCCATCTGCTCCAGTTTCTGCTCCACTTTCTGTTTCACTGCAGCATGAAAAATAAAAAGAACGTTACCTTATTCAGCTTTTCAACAAACATTTGTTTGGATATATGGTGGAGGTAAACGCATACAGTCTGAAAGCTACAAAAAAATGGGGATTTCAGACGAAAAACAAACCACAGCACCCCATTTCTTCTTCATAAACATAGGGCAGTTTTAAAATTAAAATTCCATTTGGTTTGATTTTATTAGCATGAAAAATCATTCTGAGACTGACACTCCTCCACCCCCAAATTCACATCTTGTTGCCCACAGAACAGATGCAGCATTGCCAGCAACATTACATGTTTCTCTTTGGAGCTGGCTGGATTTTTATTTATTATTACCAAAATCTTCTTTGCTACAGAAAAAAGGGTTTACTGATTTTACATCTATTTCCATATGAAATTGTCATCAAAGAGCTTTTGGTAATAGATACTCTGTCAAAGCAAAATTAATCCTGATCTGAACTACCAAGCATTTGGATCTCATTCTTTTTCATGAGAATCTCTGAAATTTTCATGTTGCATTGGATTTGAAACAAATTTTGAAGCTTTTTAGGCTTTCATAAAACAGATCTGTTGGCCTCTGGCCACCACTGCTGCCTCCTCTTTGCCTCAATGTGGCCTGGCCAACTTGCTCCAGTTATATCAAGCAGAGTGATCCCAACACAGATTGTGCTCAGGCCTATTCAGTTTTGCTTTCTCTACTGAGTCACCAAATTAAAGTACCAAGCAGGGTCATTTGTGCAACACTATGTTCTGTTATTTTTTTTTTTTTGTCATTAGAAATCAGATGTTATCTCGTTTCCCACCAGGCATCAGAGACTGCAATTGACTTTACTGAATTCCACTGTTATAGGGATGCAGAACTTTTAAGTTGTTTTATCTTTTTTTTTTTTTTCATTTAACATGATTTGGAAAATTTAAAATATTTGATGATGAGAAAAGCAAGCAGGATGTACAGACAAATCAAGGAGAAGGACGCAAGCTCAGTTTCTGTTACCACACAGCACATTATCAAACTACTGTTTCTCTGATGCCCTCTGGTTGTACCAATATCATAATTTGTAGAAAGTGCAGGTTTCAAAATGCAGTTAGCCTTATCCGTTGTTTCACTGATTTAAGTTCTCTGCTTCTGTGTATAGCAAAGTACCTTTCAGCTGCATCTCTGCAGACAATGTGAGATAAGGTGAATCACTTAATCACATTGTTACCTTGAGCTATAGCATCACTGGGCTCTTGGATTTCTTTCTCCTCTTTCTCTTCTTGGACACAGGAGGCAGCAGCCATTTGCGCAAGAGCAGATGCACAGTTAGCAGCAACACCTGTAAAGCAGCAACACAATATTGAACCAGCATTTCCTCCCCATCCCCATGCAATCTGAGCAACAGTTTGTGTCAAGGGAAAGATGGATGCACTTGTCTATGCGGTAGGTCAGAGGGGCTCCAAGGGGAGTTCTACAGTCCAGGTTCCTTGATCATCCTAGACCAGAACAGGATGCTGCTTTTCTCTCTCCCAAATTAATTCAATCAAAGTTATCCTAGTTTACAAGCCTGCCATGACAACCCACATGCAGCAGTACCTAGAGCACAGCTCAGCCGCGCTGCCCTCCTCAGTCCATCCAGGCTCACACAGATGGAGTCCTTCTCCTTTTGGTTCTGCTCCTTGGCTCCTTCTGCTCCCAAGATGAATGCCAGCCCTTTGGAGCTGCCTGCCATGCGACCAGTTAGCGGTGTGGACAAGGTGTCAATCATGTTCTTCCAACAGCCAATTAAGAGGTATCGGGCAAAAGCAACTCCTGGAGTGAGAAATGCATTACTACTACTACTGGAAAATGACTTAATAGCATTGGTGGTTAAAAAAAAAGAAGTCGTAATTATTCTATGCATACTGGACTGTCTATCTGATTCACGTGTAGGATGTACTGACATACTTCCCTCAACCCTTAAATTGCCCCTTTAAAACCCAATTTTTATAAGTTTATGGTATAAAACAATGCATTGTCAGCAGATACACTTGTACTTACAGTACAGGCTCAATACCTGCAACAACAGAATCATCTGTCTTCCGGTTTTGGGAAAGAGGAGATTGGGCTGAAGCAGATGCCATCAATTGGCCACCAATTGCACTGCTTCCCAAGCCATCGATGTCTGCCAGAATATTAAAAAAACACAAACAGATTACTATGCAACACGCAACACACAGATGACATAGAGAAAGCATCTCTTACTGGTTCCTTGTTCAAATAGGTTCTAGTGCTCTTGATTTCTCAGGTATGTCTTTTAGTTCCTCTCTTCTGGCAGCCTTGTGAAGCCTTGCTATAAACATAAGCTGTGGCACCTTATGCTTTGCCCAGGATAACCAACCTTTTCTTGGAGAAGGGAAATAACCCGCTCAACAAAAGTTACACAGTCAACAGAACTCTTAGTAAAGATTTCATGGTATTTCTTACAGTTTAGAGCCTCCTTAAATCTCTGTATTTCTGAGTATTTCATTTCAAGTCTTGCTAAATCCTGTTACTGGGTGTTCCTAGACACACTGGGATCCTATGTCCTAAATGGGATTTTTAGTAGACTTATATGGGTTCGATCTCAAAAGAAACACAACTCTTTCTCCAACACAACAAGATTATCTTTGTAACACATAATTTAATATTAGGGGCATCACAATGATTTGCTTTCTAGAAATTCCCCTCTCTCTCTTCTCCACGCAATTCACAGCTATTATTTTTCTGAAGTGTTTTCTTCAGCTTTCCAACTGACTATTTATCGCTCAACTCAATATTTATAGGCAACTCTGAGCTCAAAATGATAAGCCAAAACCTCTCAGAGCGTTGTTCTTTGATGGCGGTGCTCTTTGTTAATGAAGCCAGTGTTCTCCCTGCATACAATGTTTTAATTACCTCATTATAATCATACCATACATACATTCAAACAGTGCATTTTATATCAGTACAGTATCATAGACATCTTGCTGCCTTTCAGCAGATCCCATTTAATTTTTCTCCTCAAATGAAGCTAAGGATTGTTTTTCAGCACTTGTTAGAGGTGCTGCAGGTCTTCAACTTCTTACTACTGCCATTTGGCATACCTCTGGCATAGCACAAATCTGAACCAAGGGGAGCCCAATCTTTGGAAGGCTTCCAGGATCAGACTCCACTACTTGTATTTGTATTGCACCACAGGCATACTGAAATGGCTTCGCTACGACATCAAGCAAACAGCAGCCTTATTGCTTGTCATTAACAGGTACCAAGCCTACCATAGTTAAAGCTGAAAGAATTAAAATAACTTTGGTTCAGTGAACAAATCTACCCTTCCTGTCTCCATTATACTTTTAGTTATTTAAAAAAACAAACAAAAACAAACAAACAAACAAAAAAAACAAACACAGTATGTTATTTTCTAAAGGTAAGCAAAGTTTGTATTATTTTACAGACAGGTTTTTAGGAGTAATAGTAGGTTACTGGGTCCAAAAGTATGTAAAGAAGCATATTTCTTCCTGAAAAAATGCCTGAAGTCTATCTGTACCTCTTGAAGTATCAGGCAGCCACCTTTCTGAGAAAATAACAGAACCATTTTTTTTGGCTATATCTTGATTATTCATCTCAATTAGCAAACATGCCTCTGCAGGCAATAAAGAGGGGGTTCTGCTCCTTTGGATCCTGATAATTAACTTTGGGACACTGCCATCACACAGATGGTATTGTACAAGTCAAGACAACAGGACATTCCAGTCTGTTCAGCTTTGGATGCCACTGGCCACAGAGAATCAAGACTACTACTAAATTTCAGGGGTTTTGTTTGTTTTTAAACCCAGGCTCCAAAAGCTTTCCTGCCTGATTCAGAACATGCACTTAGTATCTGCTGCAGCTGAGTCTGATTCTTTCTTCACTTGTACTTTAGCGAAACACCACACATTGAATGATTACACGCTATTCTGTATGCAATGGAGTGAAGCAGTGAGCTATTGTAGCTTTAGACACACGTTTGGAAGTTATTCCCTGATATCAAAATATAGTACTGACCAGTCAGCATGGTGATAAGTGGAAGGCTGTGCTCTTCAGGGCTTCCCCAGTATCCAGCTTCCCCCAGCATGTTCCTTTCTAGTACCTGGTGGTACAGCTCTTCAACCCAGGCCTGGGAAAACACCATCAACACTCCGCTGGACTGAACCTGCTTCATGAACTCTTTCTGCAGACAACCATAAAAGCCAGATGTAAGACAACAGTAAGTCCTATAGCATGAGCTTCAGGCACTGTGCATAACATAACGCAGGAGTAAAAATGCAGTTATAGAAAAATAAGAATAAACCGAGGATCACAACGGCTGCCCTTAAAGGAAGTTCTGAGTTACTGATTTGCTCTTGCAGCTGCTGAAAAGCATACCAGAACTGATGATGATGGTCATAACCAGTTGTTTTTAGTATTTCCTAGAAAATATATTATCTTACGCGAGAAATTCAGCAGGAATGGTACTTTTTGACAGAATGTTTAGGCTTGTTCCATATATGTTTTTCCTTGGTTTTGGATTATTATTTTTTTATTTCTAGGAAAACTGGAATGACTCACCTTCAACAGTTTAGTTGACAAGCATAGATTCAAGTTTTAGAATGCCTGTAGCCTCTAAAACAATTTAAAACAAAACAACAACAAAACCTGAGGAATCCCAGGTGTCACAAAAATTACCAGTTACATGACTAAAACCTAATTATCTCAGTCAAACTTCTCATGTCTTCATCTATGTAAACACAAAGCTAGTATTAAGCAATAAATTTGTCATTATGCTCAAACAGAGTTGCAAGATTAAGGTATGTCCCTTGACAGTGTGCACTAACAATACTTGCTCCATTACACAATGGTAATGAAGATTTGTTTTGCAGATGAGGTATCCATCAAAATGACTGTTACTGTAATGATCATCAGTAAGCAGCATTCATTCCCCCTGAATTTCAGAGAAGCTGTGTAATTCAGAGGCATGACATTTATCATGCAAGATTCATAAGTAGCATGGAGAATGCTTCATTTGCAATTATTATTTCTCCACTTAGCAAGCAGCATGAAGAACATTTATGTGTGGGCTGCTTTATGTGAAAGGAAACAAAACAGTTTTTTCAAAACAGTTTTCCTGTATTCCATAACTCACCAGCAACACAGGGGCTTGGGCAGGCTTCTTCCTGTAGTAATCTGAGTTGGCCAATTTTAGGTTCAGCAGCAGAGTATAATGTGAGACCATGTAGAGGCTGTCTGCATTCATCAGAGTCTGGAAGCTGAAATTTGGGTTTCCCTCAAATCCTGGTGAGTGCATCATACCTAACAAAAACACCATGTGAGCTCTCACATTTAACAGAGAATTGGCCTGGAAAAAAAAATCAGAAACTAACCCTAGCATTTCAGCAGCGACAGATTGCTAGAATAGTTAATGAATCATCAGTAGAAGTGACTCTATTAAATGAACTAGAGTAGCGAGCAGAAAACTAAATAGTCCATCTAGAATGCAGTGCTGCAAGGGAAATTGAACACTCCAGTCACAGTCCAGCAAAGCAGCAATAAGCTTAATTTGAAAGACGTGAGTAGTCATGAGGATGACTGCCAGGTACAAAGCAAAGGGCAGGATATATCTACAACACTAACCAGAAAGGTGAGCTGGGAAGGGAAAGAGGCAAAGCCTGTGTACTTATAGGAAACTGAGCATACGTTGTACCAAATGGTGCTAATGAGGGACAAAGCTCCTTTAACTTCCCAGCAAATCGGTACCAGATAAATGAGTTGTTGGATGGGACTGGAGTGCTCAGTACCTTGCAGGATCAGGCTGCAATCATCATCCTTTCCATGGCCTAGAGGTACGTGGACAAATATTTAGGGTCAAGCTGGCTGGGACTTATTACAACTCCAAGCCCTGCTTAGTTCATACAAGACCTGCTTTCTAGACAGCTGAGCACTTGCAGCTTTGTCAGCCCCAAAAGCCATCGTCTGAAAGCGCTCAGTACTCCTGAAAACACTATTTGTATGAAACTACTCCCCTACAACCAGGCCCAGTGGTTCAGTGCCTCCTTCCCAGGTGGAATGGGCAGCACATACATTTTTGTTGGAGTTAGCTGCCCTACTGGTAGAAAAAAATACATGGAGTATGAGAAATACTTAATCAAATCCCTGGGATCTGTCGTTTGAGACATGAAAAATCCAGAAATGTTTGACTCCCTCCCACCATGAACCACAGTACTTCATGGTTTTCACAACAACTGTGAAATCCATTCATATAACATCAATTAGGGAAAATTAAGGAGTGAGCTTTCTCCTAGAGGAACATTTGAAATGAAATAAAAACAACAAAAACAAAAACAAAAAAACAGCTTCCAAGGTTAGTTACATGATGAAGCAAAGCTGTGTCATTTGGTAGCTGCTGAAGTGGTTTTCTGTGAACATACTCCTCCCACCACAAAGCTCATGCCTGTTCTTAGACAAAATACAACAAACCATTAACAGTAAGAAAAAAAATAAATAAAAAATAATCCACACACAGAAAAGAAGCAAATGTTTTTCTTGCCTCGTGAGGGTTTGAAAGCTCTGTGCTGCTGCCTTCTCGGACTTTCCACTGACGTCACTTTGGGGGCGTGGATAAGGTGAATAACTGTTTGAGGTTGGATTTAGAGAGAGAGTAACTGTTCCAGGGTGGGTCCAAAAAATGAACAACTCTTTCAAGGGAGCAACCTTTGTGGAAGAGGGGTGAGAGGGCTGGCCACACACTACATCCACACGGACCTCCGCGCGTTTGCGGTAGGTTTCTTGTGGTGAATGTTAACGGAGAATTTTTGCCTAGTCCCAAAATCACAACCTGGTACTTCAAAGAAGGCCTATGAGTAGCTGGGGTGACCCCACCACTCAAGTTAAAGATGCTTTTTAACATGTTAGTGGGTGGAGGAACATGATATAGATGTAGCTAAACTATGCTGTTTTGATGTTTGATGTCTCTTAAATAAGTACCTCAGGGACTACAATCAGCTACAGTAAAAAAAAATAAAAATAATTCAAAGTAGAGAGGTATATATAAGAAAACGTGGGACGATTGCTTAAAAAAGCCCACCTGTGTACAGTTGCACATAAAAGTGGCTAGTACCAATGAAGTATGTCTTTGAGCACCCAGAAGTGTTTGTAAAAAATCAGACCCCTATCTCCCTCTGAAATACTGGAGAACAACCAGTTACATTTGACAGAAGCTCAGCTCACAAAGGAGAGGATCAGCTGATGCGTAAACTTGCACTAATGCCTAAACATAAAAACCTTGCCACTAAAAGCTGTGGAATCAGAACTGAAACAAGATGCTTAAATTTTTGCTATGACTATTAACACAACGGCACACAATTGTTAGAAGTAATTCCTTGATGCTGCAATTCATGACAGTAGTTATGTCTGAATTAAGATAATACTGATCATCCAGTTTAATTACAAAAATCTGCCAGCCACAGCAAACGCTGAGGTTAGCACGCTGTCTTAAAGGAGACAGCTCACTTACATTGGCAAGGTCAAAGGGGGTCCATATAAAATGCAAATAATATTTTGTGCAAGTCAACACAACATTAAGAATTTTCAGACATTTCGGTATTTTTAGATAGACATTGCATTCCAGCGTCACTAAGGGATTTTTTTTAGCATTGGTTTTATCTAGCAACAAGTAAGGAGGCGCTTTCTAAGGGAAGATCATAACCAGCTGAAAATGGCTTTTAACCAACTGACTTGCAAATCTTACTTTTATTTTAACTCTTTAGCGTCACTTTTTTTCCATGCTTATGCTCCTGTGCCAATGCCTCAAATTCCTACCTCCTTTCACTGTGCTTCAGACCTATGAAAATACAACATTGCAACACTGCTTAAGCACCTAGCTTGTAAGAAAGACTGCTAAATTGTGTACTAACATATTTCCCCCTCCAACATAAGAAAAACTGATGAACAAATCAAAGCAGCTAGGTAAAGACTCAGAAACATAAAAATACTTATTTCTGTCCTGTATGGTCCCAGAACTGCACCTGTCTCTTATTCTCAACTTGGATTTTAACTGCTACTCATACTTCCTAATGCATTCTTCAGGAATTATACATGAAAAGACATTGTCCATAAAAGTAGTAGGACCATTTTTTTTTATATTCATCACCTAATTTGTGTATTGAATTTCTGGTGCTAATGAGGAAGCCCTGGAGCAAATACTCCCTGTGAGAGTACTGATGAACTTCTGCTTAAACGGGCTGTTTTCAGCTGGACTGGGTCTCGTGCCAGGTTTCTGTCTGAAACATGAACTGCACAGACCTTTGTGAGAGTTCAGAAGTATCCCTCTTACAGAGGGAAAACACTAAGATACATCACATAGCTGTAAAAACAGCAGTAACTTGTTATTGTATTTGTCCGTGATTCCTTGCTGAGCGGTATCTTGTCCATTACTTCACCAAGTCAGACTAGAAATGTGGTGCACATTTTTAAATAGAGGGTTAGCCACGTGGCTGCCTTTCTTAGGAATGCAAAGGGCTTTCCTCAACTCAATGGCCTAAGTCCATGACTGGTATCTTTTTAAGAGAGAAACCAGGAATTATGGACTTAATGCAGAAATTAAGTAATATCCTTATATCTTTGGCACTGTATTAGTCATACTGAATGATAACTGAAGATGCACTTAGCCTTAAGAACTGGCAATCTGTTAGGTCTACCTCTTCCAACACTTTAAAATCTTCTAAAGGGATTTGACAGACAAAAGGTAAAGAGAAAATAAGGTTTTGGCTATCAGGCAAACAAAAGTTAGAGCAAGAGTTCTAGTCCTCATCTTTTGCTAAAACCTCACTATTTTACAGGAAAAATAAATTCTTTGTGACAGGAAAGATGCTCCTGAACACCTCAATTAAGAATGTAGTTAATATTAATGTCCCTTTTAAGACACCTCGTTTCTGTGATATAAAAAGGCTACTGTGTTTCTTACAAATGTCATTTACTATCTTCCTGACTTAGGGAAGGGCTTATTTGGGCAGCAGTTAAAAGGAATATCAGGAATATCAACTTTGTGTGGTTTTATCAACACATTCACCCAGCTTCGTATCTAAATTATGCTGTATGATGATGGAAGGCATCCCTTCTGACTCCGTATCAGTAATGTGTGTGAGAGCACAAATGAATGAAGCAATGATTAGGAGAGGAGTGATGGAAAAGGCAGTTGTGGTGAATTAAGAAACAGAGAAATATATTTTAATGAACATTTCCACCTTGGCCACTGTCAGGAAAAAGAAACCTTTCTGAAAATACGTATATTTGTACACATCTCAAATATACTATCAACATGACAAACTTGCCTTTGCATAGCCCTTTTTTGTTTGATTGACCAAGTTAAGATCCCAAAGAATCTAACCCTGAAAGAAGAGCAATTATTTCATCTCTTGAAAGGTAAAATCTTTAACTATTTTTCACTGGGACTGGGCTTTGAGCTTCAGATTTCTGACATAGATAGCAGCATAAAATAAGAGAGAAAAACAGGAGCTGCTCCTCTTCTCTTATTTGTTCAACAGCTTACTGTTGTGGGATTCTTATCATCTTCTTTTTACGGCTTGGGTTTACTAACAGTAATAAAGTAATATATTAAGCAACTTGAATCCCTTTCAAAATGGGTGATGGTCCTCCCCATTCCCCAGTTTTCACACCTAAGGGGCAACCCCAACCTCTCCCTCCTAATGACAGCACATGCAAATTTTGTCAAAAGATCTTCACAAACCCGTGAAGAGGTATCTCACTATAGAAAAATTGATTTTTCTATTAACTGAGGACATAATCCAAAGTCTTCTAAGAGTGGATTGATCTCCCTTTGAATCATCATCTGCATATTCAATTTGCTTCGCCCTAAATGAAATGTGCTATTGTAGACGAATGTGCTTTGTAGAGCACAAACCACATTATTCTGAATATGTTCTCTGAAGATGAACTCCCACAAGAGAATCTGTGTACAGTGCTGTAACAGTGTGCATATTGGTTAGACAGTAAATATTTGCTTGCAAACCTGAGCAGAAAGTTGAAGAGAAGCTCTGCAGTGCTCCGTCTACCTCCTCTATGCTGGGGAGAGCTATAAGCCGAGGAAGAAGAGCTTCAAGCGACTGGATGAACAGCCGTGCACTGTGCTGGTCTGCTTCCTGGTTTTTCAGCAATTTCAGAGAGAGAGCAGCACTACGTAAGGACTTCTGACCTGGACAGTCCCGTGGTGTCTGCTCCTCATCGGCCAGGGAGCAATTGTCAGAGCCTATGTCCGAAACATCTGACCGGCCAGAGTCCTTCTCTGCTGCCATGGAGTACTGATCGCATGAATCAAACTCAGTCCTAGAAAGATCTTGGTCGTCAACACTGAAGTTACTTTCACTGTATCTGGATCCATAGGACCGGGTCTTGCAGTCCACTGATAAGAAGTTAGTTATATCTGGATAGACTATGGTGTGGCTTCTCTGAACGACATCTGGCTGGTCAATGGTTTCTGACTCTGGTTCTCTGTAATGAATCTCTTTGCTTTCATGTGCAGCTGGAGATGACAGCGAGTTTTTTTGACTTTCTGGATTATCCTCTGGAGTTGTCTGTCCCATATCCCCTTCCAAAGTGGTCTGACCAGTGTCTGTGGTAACACTAATGCTAATATCAGGACTCTTCTCATTTCCTGATTCCCAGGCAGGATTTTCTGAGGACAGGATGCGCCTCTGCCACCGAAAGTCAGCATCGTTGATCTCCATGGAGTCCCTGCTCGTCTCGGTCCCATCCTTCAGTTCTTCTTGGCGCCGTAGGAGCAAATGGACCTGCTCCTCACTAAGACCCCTGCCTTGGCTTAGCTCATCCAATGCTCCGAGCAGGGCAAATACACATGACACTGAAGCATAACATGCTTCAATACCACCCTTGATGCATGCTTCGGTCATCCCATCCATGATACTACAATTAAAACAGAGAGCTTTTCTAAGAGATGCAGCCTATTTAGTGAGCTCATTGCAGTCATCCAACACCATCCCTCCACAGACAAGGGAAAAAAAAAATCATCCTGTAAGACTACTTTTGAGAAAGACAACTAGTATTACACAAATAATTACATCTCCCAGGTGGACATGGCCATTCTGTAAAGGGACTGACAACCAAGGAAATAGTTACTGTACATTTGTATGCACAGCATATTTTCCCTTACAGACAAGCCCTTACACTGGAAAAACAAAAACACCCAATTGAAACTAAATATAAAGTCACATGAGTCTTGAAAATCATCTTATTGACAAGATACATTCTTTATAAGGACTTAGAATGCTTTTTGCCCAATTTGACATTTAAATTTGGATCAAATTTTTTGACCTTAGTACTTCCAAATAAGCATGATTACTTCATTGAAAGGTTACTACCCGAAACCTAGAGTTTCCAGCTGTTAAACAATTTATTACAGGGTATTCTGGTAAACTCCCCAAGGTGGTTACCTATGGCTTTACAAACAGGCCCAGACTCACTTCAAACCAGAGAAAGCTTTTACTCATCTCATATTTTCACAGCTTATTTAACCCTGACTAATTTTTGGATATGCTTCAGAAGGTACAACTGTTTAACCATCATGTGTGCACACGTTTAAGAGAGAAGAGGCTAAAAGAGGAAACAAGGCATACAGCTTGAGAAGATCCAGATGGGACTTCCTTTTAGAAATAGACCTCTTCCTGGATTCTGACTCAGAAGAGCAGGGCCCTGCCAAATCACAAAGCCTCCGAGGACTGCCAAGTATCTGAAAGGAAATAAAGCAGAAGTTACTAGAAGGTGATTTAAGCATCTTTTAAATATAATGAGTCATAATTCTGTCAAGTCCTGGAACCTGAGGTAGCAGTACTGTAAATTCTCTCAGCGAAGGAAAACAGCACACTAATGTTCTATGTATTAAAGGTATCCTTCTCTTTTTAAAAGGAGAAATACAGATAGAGAAAAACAGCATATGCAACATGAATCACACACAAAATGTTCTCCAGTGCTTTACGTTTTTGACTGAATATGCTTCAGCTGAACTGCACACAAGACGATCTCTATGCCAAAATACAGAGCAAGTATCTTGCATTATTTTATATTATATACTGAAGAGAGCCTTGCTCTTCAGTCACCCAGTTACAAAATGGTAGTCATTTCCTTCTGACTCAGCCTGCTGGGTGGCAAGGCCTGTTAATGCCAATCAGGACATACAGGGAGAAAGCACATTAATGAGCAGAAAGAGACAACATATCCTGCAGAGAAAAAACATTAGCTAATATTTTCCTAAAACTTCCTGAAAATGTATTGCAGATTGTCACGTTGCTATTGTTTAAAATTAGAGGAAAGCAACTGCCAGCAATGACTGTGAGCTCAGACAGCAACCCAGTGGGTGGCTGTGTGGTGTCAGGAGAGATCTTCAGATGCAGAGCAGCCTATCTATGTACAGCTAGAGCAAAAACCTAAAAAGGACTGCTGTTCATCAAATTATGTAAGATGCATTGCATTCCACAACATGAGAAAAAGGCTGCTCATGTGAAATGGAAAAGCCCAGGATTTCAGCTGCTGCTCAAAGAGGTCTCACACACGTTGTCACAGATACTGGGTGACAGGCCAGAAAGGACTGTTCTTGGCATGGCCACTGGAGACATTCCAGATATTGTAATACAGCTCAAGGAAACAGCATTTCAAAAACCTGACACAATTAAAGCATATGCTTAACTTAATGTCTAGCATACTATACTGTGAGGATGTCTCCTTCTAGAGGGAGCAGAGAGTGGGGAAAGATGCCAAAGAAGTTGAGAAGAGGATCACTACACTGTATCTCATCCAAAAGAGCAGTCATGACTCAGTGATAAAGGCCTCCTCCATGCAGTACCACAGCATGAACAGAGTTGCCATAGCAGCTTGCATTATGGAGACAAATATAGCTATTATGATTTGTAAAACTAAAAATGTTTGTCAGAGTGGCTTTGATGTAAGAGCTGTGCTCAGAAAGGGCAACTTCAACATCCCTAGTGCTAAAGAATGGAACGGACAGGTATGTGCATCTCACCAACATGTACCATTAAACAAACATTTTGCTTTATTTGCCTGGATTTGCACCTGCGATTATCCTACCTCTTTCATGATTTTGATGGCTTCTACTCGGTGCTGAGGTGGCGGGTAAAGCAGCATGCGGTGATACAGAGACTGCAGCACGGGCTTCATGGATTCCACCGACCCCACCAGCCGAACCAGCTCGGCTGCAATGTAGTAGATGGTCCGTGCAACAGGCCCGCTAAGGGCAGGTGCTGTGGATGAACAGCCTGAACCCCGGCCGTGATCAGAGACCCCTGAGGAAGGTGAATCTGCCTCAAGACAGATGCTGCTGTGGGCAGAGGTGATGGTTTTGTCGTGGATCGGATTTCCCAGGATTACTACTAAGGCTGGACACAGTTGCTTCCTGAGAAAAAGAGAAAAAGCAGCAGATGGTAACTGTAAAAAAACCTCACAGGAACAGACTGAAAATAACCCACAGTTAAATGAGATACACACTCTTGTTTTAATGATCAGTCAACAGCAGTGGTTGGATTGAATAACAAACTGTGCCAGGCTCTTTTAATCTCCCAAGCATCAGCATACTAGTATGTATGGAAATACTTTTGGGTGCTTTATAAACACGATACCGATTTTGTAAGGTCATTAACTGCACCATGTTGTCCTTCACAGGATAGTGTACCTGCCTCTTTAATTGGCTGCAACCTCCCTCAAGGTAGGAATGCTGGTTTTCTCCTGCCAGGTGTATTTTCTTCTGTCCAATTTGGAACTTAAAAAAAAACAAAAAACTGACCAAATGAAACACAATCTCTGTTAACTAGAAGGCCTGATGTTCCATAACTGACCTGAACATGCAAGTATTTTAGTAAGCACCCTTAGTTGCGAGCCTCTGTTTTGATGGCTTTTTACAACGTAATTAAAGCCCCCTACAGAAACTCAAAGTGTGCACTGTAACTCCTCACGTGCCACTAACCACACCACCCTTCCTTAAACTGTCTTTCTGCAGAACACTCAAGTGATTCCACACCAGCAGATCACTTCTCCTCACCAAAACAGTGGAACCAGAGCCAAAATCAACTCAGCACTTAGCTCAGCTGTTATTTCAGCTTTGCCCTCATGCACTTGTCATTTTACTTTGGTGCCCTAATTTAAAAATCCAAGTGCTGTATGAGAATGCAATCCCAAACTCAATTTTCCCCCACATGTCTCAAAAGTTAGCACCTACAACAAGCACTCAATGACATGTAATGCTTCACCATAAAAAGAGACACATCTTCATAGGTATATACATCTAAGTTCCCAAGATTTTCATGTTGCCTGGAACTTTCATTGCTTCTCTTAAAGTGCTTGCTAAAACAGCTTGGCCTTCCGAAGTCACAGTAAGAAAACCAGTTTTTAATCTGATATCAGATATCCCATGTCTTATGGAATATCTGCTTAATCCATTTCTTTAAAATGTACCCAATTAGGTACATTTCAAAATATATTAATACACTACTTAAGAAAGGTGCCTGTCTCAGAGCAGGTATAAGCACAGATTGCTTAAAAAGTCCTGACCCTCATGGCTTGTCCTTATGATAAGCATGTATGAATACAAATACCTGTAGATTTGTAGTGTGAACTGGATCATCAAAATAACAAATTTAAAATAAAACAGGAAGTGTTTTTTGGATGGCCCCACAAACAGTGAGATAAGCATCAACAAATGTTGGGTGAAATTCATGAGCAGAATCTTCTGAAATGGGCTTGCCATGGAAGAGAGAATGCTGCTGTTACATTGGAGCTCCCAGAGGCTTCAGGACAGGGTCCCCATGCAACATTGCCAAGTGTTATCAGCCTGGAAGAGCTCCCAGACCTGTAGCCACTAAGCATCAGGTTATCTGATATTTTTTTTCTGGGACAGCAAGGCATGCTGTAAGTGCTCATATACATTGCATCTTTAAAATTGGGCCAGAGCCTTACAATTCAGTTTCAAAATAACAGGGTAGAAGTGCAAGAAACACGTCTGCCATTAGCAGTCCCATACACTATTCTTAACACAATCACCTGCAAGATCAGAAGATGGACATAGACTTGATATGGGCTTTACATTATGGCTTTATTGTTATGGCTTAATTATCTATAAGCTATAAAAAGCACTGTTGCAAATAAAATGACAAGGATTACTTCAGTCACTCTGAGGTGATGGCATCAAACAATCTACAGGTAGAAGTAAACATTAAAGACATCGAGTCTTTCTGGTGAAGCACACTAAAGAGGATTTCTTGATAAAGTGGAAGTACCATAAAGACCATTTAACCTGGGCCCTTATACAATACAGGTCATAAGTATTTTTGTTCTCCAACACACCATCTGACAGTGATTCTGCTTACCTTCCTGTATTACCACACTGGACCAGGATCTCTACAGCACCTTATTCTACTAAGCAGAAAAACTGTGTGTTTAATGCCACACAGCTCCAAACTCTTGCAGAAAGTATATGAGATCTTCTGTTCTGTGTGAATATGTCAGACTTCATGACAGTGACAGTTCACTACAGGATTTAATGTGCTAGCTGAGCTTGAGGTCCTACGAAATCTTGTATGAGGCACAAAATGAACTGATAGTAGGTCAACAGAGAGCTCTGCTCACATCTGGTGATTTACTACAGGTTTGTTTGTATGGGTGGTGTTGGGGAAAGGCCCTTTTATACTTATAAACTGAGTATTTGTATTACTCTTCAGATCTACTCACCATATGAGATCTGTGAATCCTTTATGCTGGTGCATGCTTGGAGAAGAGCTATTTAACATGGAGAGGATGCACTCCAAATAAAGAAGCTGAAGCTGCCGATTGTCACTGGCAAGAGAAAATATGCCATTCATGTCACATTGAAACAAAGATTATTTCATTTAAAGTAACTACATTAGTTCACTTGAAAATTATACCACAATTTATAGCAGTGATTTATTTTGCTTCTTCCTATGGACTTACAATGGTGTGATCACCTTTATCACCCCATTTATTTTGTATTGATCACGTGCAGCAATCTACTACTTTTTGTACATACTACAAAGAAAATGGATTTCAATCATCAAATTTCAGAGTGAAGAACAAGAAATCTGTGTGACAGAAGATGAGAAAATTCACAATAATTTTTCACATTCAATCTGTAAACTTGAGGTAGAAGGAACCTTTAAACAGAGGAAAAGGAGAGACAGCCAGAAGATGTTGGAATATTAGACAGCTTCTTCAGGTAATTTGAAAGGCATTTAGGCTGCTCTCTTCCAGTTATTTTTTCTGTTTTCTTGATGACAACCACATTGGTCACAAGTCAATGTCTATGGGCATAAAGTTACATGTTCACATGGCTACCTTTGAGGGACTTGTCAGCTACTCTATAAATCAAACACAGCCTCAAGAGGAAGAGTGTGAAAGATCCTGTGGTCATTTGGAATCAATGTGCTTGTAATGTATGATGTAGCTGTACCTATTCTCAGAATTAGCTGCAGGATTCAGGAGACAAACAAAGCTGAGGTCTGCCATATGAAGGTAGCTTCCCATGCCAATTGCACTCACATTCTGATTTCCATTTCTAAAAAGAAATGCTTGTCTCCATGCTTTTTTGGTCCAAGACGAGAGCTGGAGGAATGCATTTTATAATGTATGCCAGTAGGTAAAGAAAGCTGTAAAGAATGGATTTATCTTAAATGAAATTAAGGAATGAGAAAAGTCTGCTTTCTGTCACTGTCTGTCTCAACACCTTCTGTTCACCTCAATGAATTTTCATCCAAGTAGAACAGCATACATTTCACATTCCATATCAAAAATAATGAATCCTGAATTTGAAGCTAGATTTCTAACTCTGTGCTATGGAGGGCTTAAAACTGATGGCTCGTATCTCTTCTTGAGGTGATAGCCTTTTCTTCACAGCAGTCCATACCTATCTGCACACATGCATGTATTTCAGTTACAATTGCCTTCTTTCCTGACAGCTTTTTTTACAATATGTCTTAATGCATATTATCAACATCTTTCAATTGATACTTGAATGAGCATGCACAGGGCATCCTACATTCCTGATTGCTTTGATCCCTCTTACCACCGAAATGTTGTGCTAAGAAATTAGTATTGTACTCCTGCAAAACTCAGTGTAGCTAATAGATTTACATCACCTGCTGCCACAAATTCCAGAGTCACCGGCATCACCAGTGGTCCTGCGACAAATTTCAGCTCCCTGAACAATTTCTCATCATTCATACTGTGCCTCCCACAAAATAAAATTTTAATAAGCTTGAAATTTAGAAGAGAGAATTAAAATAATCTTCAGACTAAGAAACTAGAACAGGCTGGATAGTGTACCAAAACCTCACTTCACTGACCTGGAGGTTAGAAAGGAGTATTAGCTGCTGCCAGCAAGGTCTTTTGAAGGGGGTACCAAAATTGGCCTTGAAAGAAATAAAGGCTTTTCATTCATGAAGTTCGTCCTTTAACAAGCCTCATTAAATTTATTTCCCTCAGATTTGGTCAGAATTCTTCACTATACTTTGCTCATAGAGATGCTACCAGTCTAGGTACGAGCATGAAGTAAATCATGGATGAGTGAGTTTTTGTAAGTCCTATAAATTTCATACTGTGCTTTAACAATAACATGTCTGAATCAGTTCCAATTTAGCACAGTTTTACAAGCAGGGGGGATTGCAGGTAACTTTTTAAAAGACTTCTTGTGATTTTGACATATCCTGTCAGTCAGTTTAGTTTTGTTATTTCATAGTAATTCAAAGTTATTATCATTTGGTGGACAATACTTAGCAGATGATAGATGTTTACAGCTTCACACATAGGCAAAATTACAGTTTGATATAAAGAATGAATCTTTCAGCTGTTTTTGCTGTCTGCTATTTTTAGATACACACTTTTGAAGGTGTCATTTTATTGCCCTGTAACTATGCACACAACTTTAAAAAAAGTTCCTTTGGAAGATTCAGAAACACGCTTTCGCTTTCCCAAATGCTGATACCAATTAAATAGTGCTAAGTAAGGCACTTGTCCCTTTCAAATCATGCTGTAATTAGATATGCTTATGGGAGAAAAGTCTAGAGAAGAATAGTACACAAAGATGTTTGTACAGACTTCAGCTCTCGTAGTTCCTAAGCCAAAATTCTCCTTAAAAGGGTAGAAAAAATAATATAAAAGGATGCATCAACATATGCTTATTCTTTACTTTTCTCCCTTCCCTGCGCTCCTCACAGGCTGCTTTCAGAGACATACAGAGCCTGGTGGTCCAACCAAGGAGACAGCATGATGCTAAATGTAAAATAGTTTAAGATCACTTTTTTTTCACTAGCATTCAGGATAATATTCTTTGCACCTGGCAGCAGCAGCAAGTTAGTTTTATTTTACTGACATGATAACAATGCTGTCAAGTATGAATTTGTTTCTCCCCTTAAATTGAAAAAAAAAAAAAATCTAGTTTGCTATATTTATACTATTTAAATAATTTTTGTATGGTTGCATTGCTTTTGGTTGTTTTTCTCTCTCCTGTATTACTTAAGGCTTTCTTTTTTGGCTCATTTCTTAACAGACAATTAGTCAAGCATATGCTAGAATACCACAGGAACTAATTCTTAATGCATCAGTAAGTATTTACCAACAAGAGACTCTAGTATTTTAATGCAATGTAACATCCTGTTCCTGCACATAATAATCACATTTTAAAGTTAGACTCATGCATTTTTAGGTAGAGCGTATGAAATTTCCAAACGTAAAGAATGCTTTTAGTAATGCAAATTATTTCAATCTGATAAATGCTGCCTTTCCAAGAAGGACATATTCATTCATTCTGCATATTAATAACTGCTATTATGTTTTTCCACATCTCTTGTAATTGTTCTCTCTACAATGACTGTTTTCATGACACCCAGCAAGCCAGAAAAGAAAACTTCTCCTTTGACAAGCATTTCGCTACTGCATGGAAGTTACTTACAGATTAGATTTACTGGAGGCTCTTTAAAGCACAAAGAAAGCAAATTAGTATCTCATCTCAAGTGAGGATTAAATTAATGCATGATGAACAATACTTCTTCTAACAAATACTTCATTTAATCACAGCTTTGCTCCGTAATCCCAGAACTACAACAGGATAATCACACATACCAGTGAAACTCTCCAAGTAACAAATTCAAATTATAAACTGAAAGAACTCACTTTATGACAGCCTGGAGCTTCTCACAGAGCACAGTGAGGACAGATACAACATCATCACAAAGAGACTCAGCTGAAGTACCTCCAAAAAGGACAAAGATCATGCATTACATATGCGTAGCTGGACTGCAACCTCAATTCACTGCACAGACTTTCAAAGTTGGTCGGAGCTTCTAAATAATGAGCAGGACTGTCAAAATTTAGATGAGATACAGTAGGAAATGTCCAAGATCGGAAAATGATCTCTGTACAATGAGAAACCAGTAGTCTTAAATCCAGAGAGAGCATTGATTGCTTACATGCGTTTACAGAAGGTTAGCTGAAATCTAGTTAAGATAATAAAATAAGCAATAATAAATAATAAAAAAATAAATAAAAATAAAAATAATAATAATAAAAAAAAACAGTAATAAAAAGGACTTGCTCCAGTACTTCTGTGAGGCAGCTAAAAATATCCGCATCTCTCTACACAGTTTGTGTCTACACAGAGGATAGTTGTGTACTTCTAAGATTTTAGCCTCCATCCACACAAGTTCTCTCGATGAAAACCCTCAGAGAAGATGAAAAGCAGAGAATATTTTAAACAATCAATGAAGATCGCGGACGTTAAACCAGAATGGGAGTAAAAGAAAAAAATCTGTTATAAAATAATTGTTTGGCAAGTGTGAACCCACTTTTGCTAGTGATGAGCTTTCAGAAGCTGCCATTACCAAAACCCTATCTCTAGCTTGAAATACAGTAACACAGTCATTTCCAGATTCTACATCCTGCTCTAAGAATCTGCTTCAATTTAGGAATCCACTTAATAAATCTTTCTCCAGAGCACTGAAACACCTTAATTATGGAAGTTAGTGCCTTGCAGCGATCATTTATTACTATATTGAGTACAGTGATGTTAACATGGTTCAAGTGAAGACACAATTGGAAACATCAGGAGCTAACATGGCTGTCTCAGTTCTTATCCCAGGTAAAACACACAACATGAAGCTATGGAGAAGGTAAGAAATCCTTAAGATGAAATTTCTGTGATACCAACAGCAGCGTGCTGATGAAAGTAAAGTGAACATTAAAAAAGCTGGATTGGAAGGAATCACTAAAAAAGTGGTAGATACCTTGACTCTTGAATTTCTGCAGGGTGTCATTATTTTCAATTGTCTGTTGAGGAAAGAAAAATGTCATATAATTAGTGCATGTATTAGGAAAAGCCCTATAAAAACAGTGCTGTCTTAACAGCAGAACTTTCTTAACAAACCCATGTCTTCCACTTGTTTTTTTCTTTATTTAAATTTTAAGTGAAGCTTTTGCATAATGTTTTCAAAAGTACCTAAAGATCAGTTTAAACAGTCATTTAGATTTAAGAAACTCACATATCATTTAGCTAAACTAGGACCTCTAAGCCCTTAAGGGATTTACTATACCTAGGAGAACACAGCAGTAAGTAGGCATGTAGGTCCCACTGAAAACAACTGACAGGAAAGTACAGTCTAGATTTCACACAGTACTTAGAAATTAAAGTAATTTAAGTATTGGAGTATTTATCACACCTTTATCACTGACACTACAGTGCCAACACGATTAATGGCAACCTGGAAATAGAAACAACCTCTTACATCACTTGGTTCAGCTGTGGTACAGGACTCCTCTATCAATGCACAAAAGGATCAAGCCAAATTCTTCTCTCAAACATCAAAAACAAACTGCAGGGAACTAAATGCAGCTATCACATACTTTCAATTACTCTGCAGTTAAGAACAGAACTAACAAAATTCAATTTTAAAACTGAAACTGAAATTTCAAAACTACCATTTTATTTTTTTCTAAATGTTTTGTCTAGTAAAATGAACCTACTTAGCATAGAGAAAGGACAAGTTTAAGTAAACCTATGAATTCCATTCTGCAGGTGCTCATTAGGATAAAAATAGTCTAGTCTAACAATGTAAAACAGAAGTGGTCACCTTTAGCCAAAACTGGTGTAAGGAAAATAATCCGTAAAAATACAGTCCTTAAAGTTTCCTAATAAACACAAACTATAAAACCCTGTGTGGTGCCAGGAGTTGGACTTGATCATTTTGGGTCCCTTCGAAGTCAGGATACTCTATGATGCTATGAAACAGAAGCGGCCCTTACAAATAATACTTTTTTGATTATACACAAAGAAGCATGAACAAATATAAGAAGCTGATGCTGTTTCATGTACTTAGAACATTTACAGTTTTCCTGACGATGTGCTGGGATTTCATTCAAACAGCTCTCATGGATTTTAATAATCCAATAAATGGAACTTTTTGGTAACAACCAGGCAAAGTATTCCTTTGAATTATCTTCAATAATAATAATAATAATAATAATAATAATAATAATAATAATAATAATAATAATAGAAAAATATAAAACTCCATTACCCTTTCAACAATTGAAAATTGGTTTGAATTATGTAAATATTTATCATGCAAAATATTCTGGCAAAAAAAAAAATTCAACAAACCTCAGGAAATCAAGCAAACAAAATTAAAAAATGGTAAGGAAAAAGGCCAAGGTAGTCTGACATCAGGACAATGCCTCTTTTGTTTAATGGAAGGACAACAAAGATCAGCCAAGCGGGGCTAACAATGCGAGACTTGCGTTTCTGATAGTCTGCTCTGATGCAGGTGCCGAGTCAGAGCCCAGAAAAGCTTTCAAACAGGCTTAGTTGGGGAAGTTTCAAATAAAATCCATAAGGCACAAGAAGCCAGTACAATACACTGCATTCCGAGAAACAAAAATGTACGCAGTCATGGAGGTGGAACCATTTGTTCATGCCAGAAGGCTCACCATATTTTCTTGCTTTTGTCGTAACTGTAAAGTCAAGTCACTCAACATTTGGCTGAGGGTTGCCCGCACAGCGGTGTTTATGCTCCGCTGGTGACAGCTAGATACATATGTCTCAATGCACACCTGATGAGGAAACAAGACAGCAATACATAGATATGAACTATAACTTACCAGTAACACACTTTTTAAGAAGATACCAAGGTCTCTTGCATGCAGATAGTCAGCCTTCCCTATTATTCCTTATTATTCCATATGACTCTTTATTAGCACACAAAAAGTTTTCAGCAATATGGATAACCGAGTAAAAAGCATCGAGAAGCAGCATGCAGTTCATCAGTCAGTAAGTCTCACAAGCTGCAGGAATGGTAAGGCAGAACTGGAAAATCTTCCCCTTCTGTCAAAACCAAGGGAGTTTGGCACTTGCACTGTACTGTAAACAATTCTTTAAATAATTCTTTAAAACATAGTTTGATTGTTCGTTTCTTGATACCTATTTGTTACTACCACTCTGGAAGGCTGTATCTGTAAGATAAATACCCTCCAACTCCTAAAAGTTGTTGCCATTGTCATATACCTACTTGCCACATTTTTCTATTATTAATTAGTAAATACTGCAGCATATATGCACACACATATATGTATGCAGTATTATTTACTAAACTGTGTGTACTTACATCTGAAAGCCTTTGAAGGGCTTTCCTACTACCTGGACCTACTGTTTTTAGTTATCTCCCAAACTCCAGTGGACAAAAAGTCCTAAAGCCACATACAGCCCTTTGCAGAGGCCAAACCACACAGTACTGCTGAGCTGCTGGCAACAGCAGCACGATTATTCTCTGGTGCTCTAACTCTTTTTCTAGAGTTCCTGAATTAATTGATGAAATACCATCCTCAGTGATAGGCTGACTTTCTGGAAAGAGCATGGTTGGTATCTTCTTCTTCCCTCCCCTCCCCATGCCTGCTGATGAGCAACAGTACTGTCCAACTGAGCTCTGATCTTACAGAAGGCCTCTGTAACAGCTGGGCAAGGTACCTTTTGAAAAGCCATTGATGAAGAAGCACCAGTAAAAATTCGAGAGCTCAGGGCCCCAAGGAGGTATGCAATGGACATTTTGATCATTTCATGCATTCGGGGACTTCCAGCTCTATGGCATGCAAAGCACAACTACAAGCAAAACACAGAGGGGTTAGCCAATGAGACAACAGAGTCAAACACAGCAAACTTACAAATGGTAGATGGGAGCAACAAATACACACATAAAAACAAACAACAGTCACAACATGACTAAACTTTCTTGCAGGAATCCAGGCAAGCATGAGAAGTTGCACACAGCAAGATCTAGTCTGTTTTCAGTACTGTTAATACTTAAGCCACATAACGTAGTACTATTCTTGTTGCTTCATTAATTTGCGACTGATAGTATTCAGTAGGATTTGAGGTGTCAATGTTTTGTATACATGAATTGAGACTTGCTTGTCACAGGGAGTCCCCAGAGGGAGTTCCACATACAGGCAGCACCTTTCCCATTCTGCAGTGGCTCCCACTTTGCTACAGAGGGCAGGCGAGGAGAAGCAAGGGACGTGGAAAGAAATGCCAAACAGCAGGGGCACTGGAGCATAGAGCTCCTTTCGGCCACCTTTCCATTACAGCGAGTCAGAACAATAAATACTGAGGTTAAGCAAATGCTGAACTCTGCAAACATTTTCTGTTTCCTACTGCCTACACCCTGCAGAATTCTGATAGAAAGCAGTATTGAGTCCAACTGCTAAAGCCTTTGTCTTACCTAAAACCTGGCTGGGAGGAACCCGAGGAAGCATATAGGTGCTTGGTGGGATTTGCTAATTAGAAAGAGCTAGGCATTCTCTGAGACAGTATTTTCTCAAGGAGTGAGGGGAAAGCAGCTGTACCTCTGAACACACTGAATAAAAACGTGTGACTGCATTACAGTTTATTCTAATTCCCTGAAGGAAATAAAAGTTCTGTTTGTTTCAGTGGCAGATCTCATCAGCCCCCATCAGGGATCTTGCTCATTTCAAAAGAAAAAAAACAACTACCATTGTGCTAAGTTATACCATTATACTAGCAAGGGGTTTTAAGAGCCAGGCTAGCCTTCTGGGAAGTGAAGTGCAACTACCAACAACAGCAGGGTTTAATTCCAATCTATGAAAAAATATTTTCAGGATGCTTTAAATGAATAGCAGGCCTATTGTTATTCAAATTTACAGAGAGAACAGAAAATATGAGTTTTGATACAGCTTATAGCACATGGAGCATGACTGATGGATCATTTTCCCCTAGTCTCAGGCACTACTATTAAAGGCTGAAATCTGAAAGGTTTAAGAGCCATTAAATGTTCTTCCCAGCATGTATTTTGTCTAACCTAGAGCTCTTTACCTACAACAGAGATGTGTTAAGCTGAATTCATCAGTTTTTGCTCTGCATGTTAGAAAGTTTGCTGAGAAAAACTGCAGGAGGGGAAACTATCTGTATTTTTTTTTGTGTGTGTGGTGCATTAATGACAAGAGGGTTTAGTAAAACTTAAGAAGTTGTAGCTGGCTCTACATACCAGTTCATCTCAGTTTGTCCAGTTGAAAATAAAATTCTAATGTACCTTTTTAAAGAAAAAAAATTCCCTTCCTTCCCCCTCCCCCCCTAAAAAAAAAAAAGAAAAAAAAAAGGGAAGGAACACATCTCTAAGTGTTTACATACATTAACTCCACTTGGAGTTTCTGAAGAAGTATTTTAAAGAATAAGGGGTGCCTAGCTAGGTCCAGGCTGAAATATGGCAATGCTAGGGACTGACAGGCCTTTTTTTTTAAAAAAAAAAAAAAAGAACAGTTAACAAATATGTTGGGAGTAAGGAAATGGTACATGAAGACCACAGGGACATGTATATAACCCTTACATTGCTCCATAGGCATCAGCTCTCCCCTATACCACATTAACAATATAATTTTAGAACACATTCTGCATATATGTGTGCTGTGCAGGAGATTAAGTGTTCCTGTGCCTTCTCTCTAACCTGAATAAACAGTCCAGTGCCTTGCTACACACTGCACTAAACATATTACCCATGTAGAGATGCTCACTTAATAGATCTGCACGTTTGTTTTTCTACAACCAAAGCTACTTTATAACTTAATTTAGACTAAAAACTAATGAAGAAAAAAAAAAAAAAGGAGAAGAATGACTAGTACCACCAGGACAATACCATATATCTAGAGTTGTAATAAATCCTTTACCTGGAAGCATTAGGAAAAAGACAAACACAAGGCTAACGAGGCACACTGCGGCACTTGTGCTGACAAAGCACTTTATAGCCTATACACTTCTCTTGATGAAGATTCAGTAGTTTTAGAGTTGCACCAGGTGAGCAATCAGCACAGTGCAGCTATAAAGAACTCAAGAAATTTTTTTCTATTGCAAAATGCAAATCAAAATAAATATGAGGAATACTGAACATGCAATGCTGTAGTATACAACTGTCAGTCAGTTTCCAAAAGTGTGCCTTCTCATGCAAGCCCATCAGCTATGTCCATTTTGCAGCTATTTCTTCATACTAGACATAAGGTAATATCGGTCCCTAAGATGGCAATTATGATATGGACTACTTCAGTTTCAGGATGCACATGGAAGACACACAACAGCTAGCGGAGAAACACTATGTGACACCAACAATGGTATGACAGAGGCACTTACCTCAGCAATCTTCAACACTGAGCTCCCATTCAGCTCGAATGTGGAGGTATATGTTATACAGAGCAGGACCTTGAATTAAAAGAGAGAGAGGAGGGAAAAAAAATTTAAATTTCATTTGTAATTGCCTCCCTTCCCCATCCACGTGCTTTTAGCCACAACTCCTCCTATTCTTACAGCAGGTAGCAGAAACTTTTTATCATCACATGTTACTGGAATACATGTAAATGAGTTGGCACAATCAAGGTGCTTAGTTTTTTCTTTCTGAAAAGCTGAAACTATTGGCCCCAAAGCCATAGCCCAATGGATTATTTTTCACTGTCTCCTGTACCTGACCAATGAAGGTAAGACAGTTCTGTGATCATCTCTGGCCTTGAAAGCCAGAGTTGATTGCCAGAATCTGTTCATATTTTATCCACAAGCTTTGCATGATTTATAACCAGTCCTTCCATTTATTTCTATTAGTATGACAAATGAGAGAGGAAAAATGCATAAAATACAAATTATCACCCAGGTGACACAGATACACGTGTATTCTGCGAAAATAGCCATTAATTATTGCTTGACGTGGAAAGTATTTGCAAGCCTAGGATATTTCCAGTAAATGGATTGTAGTCACTTGATAATGAGCAGCTAAAACACAATTCATAAGCCCCAATTTATGAGGGAAAGCTTGTCCTGTCTTGAACTCAGCAGGAGGAGTAAGAACTAAAAGCTCTGTACCTTCCCTTGAAGAGAAGAGGAGTGGAAGGGGGCAGTGTGGTGGGTGAGTGGGGCAATGTGGTGACATGCTGAGGTGTGATGCCTTCAGAGGCTGGCGATGTCCTGACAGAGTCTGATCTACTGTCCTTTCTCCTTGAATGTCTAAAATTCTCTGTGTTGGAATTTATGGTTTGCTTGAAAAAGCTGAACCAGCCAGAATTTCTTAGGACAAGTGTGCCAGGAAAACATCAATCACACTAACAGTAATATATTGGTCCCTAGAACTTCCTTAGTCCCTAAGTACTACTGTTCTCTACTTCAGAGGAAACTCAGGGCATCAGATAAGTTAGCATTGCTGACTCTTAATCATTTCTCTCATTTATTACCTGCTTCTCAGTGGAACTGGGTTTTTATTTTATGGTTCAATTCCTTGACAGCTATACGTGACATCCTGGGGTAATCTCCTTAGCATAGTGTGCAAAGCAAGTAACTTTACCACAGCACGTCTGATCAGATCTTACAAATTACACAAACAAAAAAAGGAACCAAAGGGACAAATTTGGGAAGGTTATTGCCCTTGAGCATCATTTTTTTGACCTTTCATTGTATTGCACAGTTTCCACATTACAATGGAACAGTAGAAAACTGTAAAGTAACAACTTGAAATAGCAAACTAGATTCACCTCTCATTTCCAAGCTATAACACCTCTCTAGGTAGTAATGATCTCTACAATCATCTCAGAGCCTTCATAAAGAACAACAGAAAAAGCAGACAACTCCTCACTGTAGTGCTGCTTAAGCAAGCCGCAGCCCCTGAGCCCCCATCCTTCCTACTTCATCTGTTTGGAAGAATTCTCCTCTGTGCAGTTATTTTGTACCAGAGGGGAGAAAATCCATTACTGGTAAACATGCATTTAATAACTTCAGGGGAATTTGAACTCTGTACACAAGAAGTTTTGCTCTTACAGATGGGGATAGGAGAACCTGTCCATGGATGAGTGAGTCATTTTTCTGTTGAAGGACATAAATAACCTCCTTTGCATTTTGACAGTCAGTATGAAAAGTTTCTATGCACTGAAACACACTGCATCTTTACTCTTTTTTATTTTTTTTCAGCAAAGCTGTATTTCACTTCAGGTTGTCACACTGTCATGATTTTCTTTGCTATTTGCTTTGTTTTAATCAAGGAAATACCTATTAGGAGCTTGATCCTGTTCTTAAAGAAGATGATGGTTCTACTATAAGAAGTGTTCCAAGAAAACCATATGTGATGGCAATTCTATATTGTCTATATATGTCATCTTGCCCTGATTCTCACCCAGTCCTTCACAAACAGAAGCTATTAATTTGGACAAACACTAGAGGTAATGGGAACACAAAAAGACATGCTACTCTTCTGAAGTACAATAGCCCTGGGGCTATAATCTCATTTTTAGATATTTATCATTTAGCTTTAGAGCGAAACAAAGTTTCTGAGCCCAGTTCCTTTACAGCTCTCAAGCCACAGAAACTTACGAAGTTACCAGTCAGACTTTTTGCATACTCTTGTCTTACTCCACTTGTTACCATCTTCCCTTACAAATCATTTCTAAGATCTGGAGGATGGTCTTTCACCACGCATAAGACTGCTCTCAGCCACGATTTTCATCAGGATTGCCTCAGGGCTCATTTATAGTCTTGGCAGCGTTTCAGACACTTAACTCATGCATCTTCCCATTTCTGTGGAACAGAAGAGGAAGACAAGCAGACTTCTCTTCAAGATCACTAGGTGAAAGATGGGATTAAACAAACAAACAACCCCAAGTCATTCAGTTCTGCTAAGGACACTAATTCTCCAGACGGTGAATCCCTGTGGTGGGTTAGCGTTGGCTAGCCGCCAGGTGCCCCCCACATGGCTCTCCCCCTCCAGATGGAGAGAAAAAACACAACGAAAAACTCATGGGTCAGGGTAAGGACAGGGAGATTGCTCACTGGTTACTGTCACTGACAGAACAGACTCAACTTGGTAAAGATTAATTTCATTTATTGCCAATTAATAACAAAGTAGGATAGTGAAAAATAGAAACAAAACTATAAACACCTTCCCTTCCGCCCTTATCATCTTCCAATCCTCAACTTCACTTTCAACTCTACTATTTCTCCCCCCCTATCAAGGGGGGCAGGGGAAGGGGGAATGGGGGCTGTGGTCAGTCCCTGATGCTTTGTCTACACCACTTCTTCACGGTCACTCTGCCCCTGCTCCACGTGGGGTCCCTCTCATGGGATGCCATCCTTCCTGAACTGACCCTGCAGTCCTTCCACAGGCTGCAGCTCCGGCCCAGGGCCTGCTCCTGCGGGGGCTCTCCATGGGCCGCAGCCTCCTCCAGGCCACATCCACCTGCTCCACCGGGGGCTCCTCCACCCACGGGGGGGCTGCAGCATGGAGATCTGCTCCATGTGGGACCCATGGGCTGCAGGGGGACAGCCTGCTCCACCAGGGGCCTCTCCACAGCCCGCAGGGGAACTGCTGCTGCCTGCCTGGAGCACCTCCTGCCCTCCTGCTGCACCGACCGGGGGGTCTGCAGGCTTATTTCTCTCAACATTTTCTCACTCCTCCCTCTCACAGCTGGAACTGGCCCTATCCAACATGGGGGCAGCTTCTGGTCTCTTCACACAGTGGCCACCCTGCATCACCCTACTACCAAAAACACATAAACCCAATGCGAACCCATAGGCTGCTCAACTACTCATGAGAATACCTCAAGAAGTCTGCATTTAAAAAAAAATAAAATAGAAAAAATAGAGAAGCCTTCTTGTGCAATGGCATTTTGTTTTCACAACCACTTGTAGCAGAAAGGAACTGATTTGTAATTTTTTCCCTTAGCACCTTCAGTACAAAACAAAATTGAAAATCAGCTTTTTCTGTGTGTTACGTTTTAGAGTCCATACTTTTTTTTTTTTTTTTTTTTTTTTTTTTTTAAGAAGGAACTCAGATAACTGTAGAGATAATTTCAAAGTCACAAAACCTCCAGGATGTTTTAATTGGCATGTATTATCTTGTAAGTGCCCAGATGAGATCAGATTTCTATAAAAGGCTTACCCAGAATGAAAGCATTCATTTTAATTACTGTTGAAGCTTTGCCTGTCATGGAACAAGAAATATAATTCCAACCCTCTGGAGTTTTAACATTAGGTATGAACAGAAAAAAAAAAAAGTGTTTCTGATCATCTTCTAAGGCCAGTGGACATAAAAACAACTGTACAGTATTTGAACTGCAATGGAATTAAACCTATGTTATAATGTCTATCCCATATTTTAAGAGGTCTTTTAAAGGGGGAACATTTTTAGGTTATAAGAGGGCTAAGTGATGCCAGCCAAGTTCCTATGTGCTTAATACCTATTTGCAGTAAAAAGCAATTCTCATATTGAAGAGCTTACAGTGGAGTCACATGAAATCAACAAGGTCTGAAAGAAAGCAAGCAGTGTCCCCCAAGATGGAGAACGAGAGAAAAGGTATAAAACTTGAAAGCAACTATAATCTACTGTCACCTGAGGATGCTTCAGTGATTCACTGCATGTAAGTGCCCAAGTCCAGCATCAATACACCACTGCCATCCTTCTTCTGTTCCAGCATTCAAAGTTCAATTAGCAAAATCCTCTAAACATCTGTTTTTCTCCTACCTGGGAGGAGTGCACCCACTTTAGTCCTAAGAATGCTGCATTTTGCAGCCACCTCTAATCCCTTTACAGCATTCATAAAAGAACCATTTCCTGACTTATTTTACTTGCAGTCTAGTAAGCTTGCATGCAATGTACACTTGACTGATTCTCAAAACCTTCTCCCTGCTGCCCCCAAAAGAGGGAAAACACAGAAGACAAGGCAGGAGTAGTCTTCTTCTCGTTTAATAATTCAACGTTTAAGGCAGTCACTCAGTATTTCTGCAAAATAGTTTAAGCAAGATGTGTCCTCATATTTGGCAGAATAATTAGTAACCTGGTCATGCCTATTTCTTTTGCCCTTGTTTTCCTAAAAAGCCAAAGAATGTAAAGGCATAAATGAACTTATGTACATTGTGTCATCATGTATCCCCACACAAAACACAGCAAGATTTTAATTATGCAGAGAAAGGAGACAGCATCTCCCATGAATCAGTCAACCCATAAAAGGTCTTGCTATCACCAGCAAATGGTGCTCAGCATTATGAATGCACCAGGGCTTCGAACAAAAGGATTGTGTCTGGTACAGAAGGACCTCACAAATTATCAGTGGTGACATTCTGAATGCTCCCAGAAGACCATGCCCATTAGTTCACTAGACTAAAACAGAACTACTGCTGAGCACTATTTATGGTGGTATGAAACCAAGTGAAACTTCTGCTTATGTAGTACA